TATAAAAATAAAAAGAAATAAAATTAATAAATAACTAGCTTATAGTTAACTTTTTATTTTTTTCATTATTAATTAAAAATATATAAGATTAAAATTATACTTAAGCTAAATTATTAATAAAAATAAGCTACCTAAATAATAAGGAATAAGTTTTATTAAACCCTCTTTAAAATAACTTAAGGAAGAGCTTTAATATAATAAAAAAAAAAGATAAAAATAAAAAAAAATTAAAGAAAAAAATAAATAAATATTTTAAAAATTCTTAAAAATAAAAAAAGCTTAATTAAAACACTAAATATATAAAAAAAGAAAAAAATTAGTTTCTTAAAAGAATGTTTAAAATAAGCATAAAAGCTAACTTTTTATAGCCAGCCGAAATTCAGCACAATATCATTTCTTACGTAATTCCCTGCACCCGCCAACAATATGCTTAGCTTTTAAGCATACTTTATAATTACTTATATATTCTTAAATAAGTTTATTTATTAATATATTTATTTTATATTTTCAAAGAAATATTTTTAAAGCTTAAATATTTATATAGCCTAGTTTATAATGCTATTTATATATTTCTTCTTTATTTCTATTATTTATATTTAAATTTTATTAAATTATATATAATTTTTAAAAGGTATATTTAAGCTTATTTATTTATTTTATTATATTAATTCTTATAAAGTATAAGCTATCTTTTTAATATCCTTAAATTATTAGCTTATTTATTTCTTAAGAATATAGTTTAATAATATTTCCTTTTAATTTTAATTTAATTTTATTACTTATATACTTATAACTAAATATATTTAAACTTAAAGAAAGCATATAATATATATTAAAGAATTTCTTTATAATATTTATTTTTAAAAACTTAATTATTAAGTCCCTTATTTTATTTATAAATATAATACCTACATTACCTTATTTTACGGTTTTATTAATTATATATATAGTATTAAAAAGGCGTATATCTTTAAAACTTATTATATTTATAGCAATATTTATGGCTATTTCTATGGAATCTATATATTATTAATTTCCTATAAATTTATTATTATTAATTATTATTATTATTATATATATATATAGGGTATATATAAGGTTATTTACCTTAATTTCTATTAAGTTATTAAAAGAAAGTTATAAGAAATTTAATAAATTTTTATTATATTTAGTATTTTCTACTAAATTATTTATAACCATATAGGCTATAAGTTCTTCCTAAACGCTTTTTAAAGCTATGGGAAACTTTATGTTAATTAATAAAGCTAAGAATTGCTCTTATATTTTTTCACATTTTTCTTAGCTTATATTCTTCCTTAAAAAAGTAGTTTTTTCCTTTTCTTTTCTTTATTTATTTATTTTCCAGCTAATAAATGCCTTATTTAAATAAAGGAAATAGCAATTCTCTTAAGTATAGCCCTTTATTTTATAATTAAGGCATATAATAGTCTTTTTCTTATCTTTCTTACCCTTTATATATAAAGCTTTTTTAAACAATTTAAAGGGTTTCCCTTTATTTTCATTTAATAGGTTAAAAAAGAAAGATTTAACTATATAAGCATTTAAATCTTTTTTAAAACTTTAAGTTATATTTTAAATAAAGCTAATATATTTATTATTTAAGCTATAAAAAATTCAGTTAATTATAACTTATTTAAAAAGAATTATATTATTAGCCTTTAAATTTTTTAAAAAAAGCTTTAGCTTATTAATATATTCTTTTATAATCTTAAAATTATTAAAATTAATATTAAAGAACTTTTTATAAAGTAAATATTAGCTTATAAATTTAAAAAGTTTATAATAAGATTTAAATATATCCCATGCTTCTTAAGCATTATTTATATCTTTTATAAATATAATAAGCCCTTATTTATATATAAGTTTAATATTAATAAGGGCTTTCTTATTTTAAGCTAAAGATAAGCTTTAAAAAAGATTCTTAAAATTATTCCCAATAGCGTTTTCTTTTTTAAGCTAAGCTTAGATTTTAACGCTTTAATATATATAGTTTTCCATTTTATTAAAAAATAAAATACTATACTTATTAAGGGATGCCATTTTAAGATAAATAAATAAAATATTTATTAAGATAATTAAAATAATAAAGAAAAAGATATAATAAATTTTAAATAAATTTAATAAGTTAAGGAATAAAGATATAAGTATTAAAGTAATATAATTATAAAGAAAAGAAAAAGGGCTTTTAAATAATATATTTTTAAGGTATTATAAATTAAAGATAGCTAAGATATAATTAAGTATTTTTAAGGGAGTTTAAGAATTATTATAATTTTATTAAAATTTGCGTTTTTAGTATTAATTTAATATAATTTTTAAATTTTAAAGAAATGCTTTTATTATTCTTAATAAAGGCTCTTAAATAGTATATAAATTATATAAGTAGGTTAAGTATTAATGGAAAAATAGTTAAGTATTTAAGTAGAAAAGGTATGGTTTTTTATATATAGGCTTTAGGTTAAGAGATAAGGTTAATTTATAACGTTAAATGGGGCGATTTAATTAATTAAGGGCTTATTAATTAACCTAATTAGGTAATTAATTAAAAGGTATATCTTTAAATATAAAGCTTATCTTATTTAAAAGGTTTGAAAAGTAATAACGATTAAGGGTATTATGTAATGTGCGTTTTCCGTATTAAGTTAGCCATTTTCCATATTAAGTTAGCGTTGCTATTTTAAGTAAGCTCCGGGCTTTATAACCTATTAAATAATAGCGTTAAATGCTTAGTTTATTAGGCTAGCTAACATTTATTCAACAGGAGGAAAGGCCCCTATTTATAGTTATTATCCTCCATACAGTGGCAAACATATGGGGAAAAGGATATCCCGTATTAATAATAGCCTAGACATCTAGAATATTCCAACAAGCACCAGGTTGGAAGATCTCTTTGAAGAGTCTTTACGTAAGACGTTCCGTTTGTCAGTTCGAGATGACAACCTCTTGTCACTAACTTGTGTGCAACTCTTATACTTGCCGAATGAAGGTTCCAGCGAGATGGAAGGGGTCCCTTCACGCGGACGAATTCTCGGATGATTGTACTGCAATCATATTGTATCCCACAAGCCACAGATTACGGGAAGCATGATCCACACTTTTTCTGATGCTTCAACGTTCTAGTCTGGAAAGCATAAGCAGAGCCCCTTTGGTTCATCGTCTCTTCCATATAAGTCTGAAAGTTCGTCAAACTCGACGTGTCAATGTAGCGTCCTCGCTCGCGAGACAATAGCTGATGACAGCAGAGCTTTCGGAGGCTCGCCCTAGACCGAGCTCTGGATAAGCGAATTATGCGTCTGCTTCGTTGGCAGACAACAGCATTCTTGCCAGTTGCCCCAAACATATTCTCAGCGTGTTAGGTTTCAGAGAACTGTTATTTGTTGAAGTCGCACAGCACAGACTGTAAGCAGTAGAGGCTATCGTAGAGAGAGTGCTGTTGAGCTGATGTGCATACTAGTATACGACCCGTGGCGATGCTGTGACATCTTCCTTGTAGGCTGTAGCAGGGCCAGATCATCAACTTCCAGAGTTGTGCCTCTAGAGACATTATGGCTGTACTAGTAATACTCATCAGGGGCGTGCTTCAACGGGATGACAGAAGAATCATGTAGGAGCTGGCATGATATGGTTCTGGGCAGCAACGCTTGATTGTGGTCACCATACGGGTCCAAGCACGGTTTCAATTTAATACGACTTTGAGGCCGTGGAATACCTCTGACTGTAACGACGTAGTGGTACAGCGGTAGATCATCACCAAGAATTTTCTCAGATGATTCCAGAACCAGGCAGCATCGACAGAAAAAGGACCGACCCAGTGTCCTCATCGTAGCGGCGCGCTGGGCCGGAGAACGTCAGCCGTTCACCAGTATACCATACATTGTTAAGTTGGAGGCCTGCAGATCCACAGGGTGAATTGCCAACTTATACATGATATATTGAGAAATCATCAATTTGTATTGCGTGAAACAGTGAGACTGAGCATCACGTCAAAATCATTGGCGTAAAACAAGCCCTTCGAGAGGTGTCAGCCTTCGCTTTATCTATCCAACGTCTTGACCACGCTCATGCTCTGCTTCGCACTCAAGTCTATCAGCAATAATGTCCTTGACGCTCTTATCATGCTACCTACAAAAGTGTCTGGAAGCCTTTTCAACAGCCATTCTCTACGCGTTGTTCTTAGCGCCCGTGTGTGATGTGCGAGTAGGGGTGGACACTTCCAAGCGCCAAGATATGAGTTCGAGTTGCAGTCGATCTCTCGCTTACAGGGTTAAGAATCCGTCAAAAACCAACATCAACTCCACTGCAGGCGGTTGTTGCGCGGGACATAATTGGCGCTCCTCAGTCTGGGCAACACTGGATGAAGACCACCCCAATGAGTGAAGGCAGGGTCCACCTCGCTTGACTCGGATGCTGTCCGAGGAATTGAATGTTGCACAGGTAGTGGGTTAGGCGAAGCAAGCGAATTTGGACGGTGGTGGTATGCTGACCCAACATGCATTTAACCTTTCACCTTCAGCGGGTCTCTGGCCAGTCAGGACTCGAGCCTGGCGTATTTGCACATCCTATGTGGCACCTGTTGATAGCCTTGCTAGAGTATCAGGATTGGCACCTGGTCGCGTCAATTTGCAACTCGTGCCATTGCATGGCGCTGGTAAACCCCGTTCATAAATCCTAGCGAGCCTGCGGTGACCGACAAAGTGCTTTACCTCCTCCCCTTTGTAAAACAAGCTACTGTCCCTGACCTAGTCCCTGCCTTGTGTTGCATTGGGATTGTCACTTCGTTCGTTTCATGGTGTCGTCTGTCTCTGCCGCGATCCTTCTCAGTGTTGTGCCAACTACGCAAGCCTACATACAATCCTCACTGGTGCCGACCATTTGGCTAAATACTCCGCCACCCAACCTAGTTGAAAACAAATAGACTTCTTACGCCTCTGTGGGTTTTGGCGGTCTTTAACTGGTCTTTCGAACCAACTTGGTCGGTTATGGGTCCCACTCCAGACCACTGGCATTCCGCTCCTGAAGTGGTCCCAGAAACAGGCCTGTATGTTGTCAGAGACGACTTCCCAGAGCCTGTCAATTCAGCAGACATCAATCACAACCAATGGCCTCAACATCCAGAGACAAACTATCCAGAAGGGCAACATCTAGGAGGGTATTTTGCGGAAGGGAAAAAGGCACACCATACAGAGAAGGATCTTCCAGAAGCGGTCCCTCCTGAAGCGGTCCCTCCTGAAGCAGGCACCAGAAAAAGACTCTGGGGCCTCGCATCTCGAACGTCTTGGATCTTGTTCTCAATCGCTGCCGTCGTGATCGTGGGCGCCGCAGTCGGTGTCGGTGTCGGCGTCTCAATATCCAACCGATCTCAGTCTACGGAGAGTTCCTCTGCATCACCCGCCTTTTCCTCCACCACGACCCCAACCTCACTCGGGGTCGTATCAACCAGTCTATCCTCAAGCGCAAGCGACGCGCCGACAATTACTAGTGCGCAGTCGACAACATCCGTCACAACAACCGATGTGGTAGGGCCGAGCTCGACACTATATCGCGACTGCCCATCGTCGGATAAAACACTGCATGATGTTACTTTTGGTAACGACACATACGTGTTCCGAAAGTTCTGCAGCACGGTTCTCGTTTCCATCAGGGGGGAAAACGACAACCTCGTAAGCACACCTTCGACAAACTTGAACTCATGTATCAATGAGTGCGCCAAGTACAACTACAAGAGCGCTTCGGAGATTGCTTCAGGTAAAAGTGACGCCTGGTACGTTGTTCATGTGCCGTCCGCCCCATCCCCTGGCTTTGCGCTTCTACCCGATTGCCACTGACCTTGACTTCATGTGGAACCAGCAACACCGTGTGTTGGTGGAACAACTTCAACACCCAATACCCGGGCCAGTGCTGGGGCTTCACAACCCAGAATTCGTCGGCGGGTGAATTCCAGTTCGAGACGCAATTGATTTGTGACTCTGCTGGGTGGATTAATGAAACTTGATGTGGTGTGTGGGCACAATCTGCAACTTAGAAAGCAAAGCTCTTTCCAGTCATAACCCGACCAGGGCTATGGCAAATCCAGGGGCACCGTTCACTGTGTCCACCACAGTGAGTAAGTTACGTGGGCCGATTGTTATACCCAGTCGGAACTGATCCTCTCAGGCTGGTGTTGGCTACCTTGGGGCCCGTCCCCAGTTTGTGCGTATTGCGGCTCTCGATGCGTGATGCACACATCATATATTTCTTAGGGAATAAATACAGAGACATGCAATCGGAGCATTGCTGAAGCACCTGGCCAACCAAATTAGAATTTGAGTCAGGTTTGTTAAAGAATACATTGGGTATGTCCAACCATTGTCATTGTGGCTGTTGATTACTTTGCACCCTCCCCTCTTCCCCACTCCCATGTTATAACTGCTAATACGGGGCACAACAGTCTAGTGGATCGTTGGCACTAGGATACAACCATACAAGCTGAAGCACTGCGTTTGTCATGTTCTTGAAAGAAGAGCCGGTGAAGCGCCAGGTAGGAGGGTGGATTATCCACAAGCACATGGTAGACTTGCCTCCGCAATTATTGGTGACAAGTAGGATGCTGTTTATTAGGGTGACGACAGGCGTTGTACATCAGGATCAGCTTTTTTGATATTCCAGAGAGTATAGCACGTTAGTCATGTGTTTCTCGACTCTCATGGCGAGTCATCGTACCTCAAATTGGCAAACGAACCCTGGCTTCAAAGCCAAACCTGCCAATACCGTTCAAAGATTCGTCCTTGTCCCACTCGAATGCTTCCAGTCCGTGATCACAGTCCCTGGGTTAATCAGAAACATTGTTTAGCGACGCTAAGTGAAGGAACGAGGCTGCTTGTATGTCTTATTACATCGGAAGTAATGATATCAAGTGAGACCACCACTAGCACATCGCTCGAGCAGTTTTTCAGTTGTGATAGCACAACAGGCTGTGGTCCCGCTCATCAGGAGACTACATGTCAATTGGCAAAGCGGTCCTTGGATGAAGCTTACCAGACTGGATATTATAAACGGCTCTGAGATGTTGATCGGGAAAACTGCAGTTGCGTATTCTGTTAAACTCCGAGCCAATACTGATTTTAAATTTCGGACTCCAGGGGCACAGCAAGCTCACATGTTGGTGCTTCATCAAAGCACCAACCAATGGGCAAGCACTCAAATACAAAAGGTCCAGCCCCAGGTTCTTTTGAAAAACGTTTTAACCTGTCCAAATAGAGTGAAGCACGAACCAGTACCGAAGTTTAGGTAGACAGGGATTCCTTCTGAATGTTCGATACGTCATTACTGCCTCCATGCCTCCAAAACACAGGCCCTTTGTGACTGCTGGAATGGGTGGTGTCATTCAGGAGCCATCAGCTCGCAACTGTGCCACAACCTGCAGTCAAGTGGGCTGTTGCATACCTAGTCACGGGTACTTCCTGAAGCGCATGCGGCTAAGCATATATATATTCGTCACTCCCCCCTCTTAAACCCAGCTCTGTTTCCTTCCAACAATCTGAAGCCTCTGCATACGCAACCCCGCCTGCAACCATAAATTGACACCCCTGTTTTTCTTATGGCCAGGACAAAACAAACACGACGTCGGTCTCGAGAGCCTACAGAAATAGTCGGCTTGTCAAGATGCAAATTTCCTATTCAGCGAACTTCTGACGGTACCCCAATTGAGGTCTCGAGGGACATCGAGTTTGTCTCAGTTATACAATGCCTGGAGTCGGTGTCTGGGAGCCAAGGTTATAATGTGTGTAGAGGGATTATTGATCCGGATGAAATCATTTTCATTACATGTAAGGTTCTCCAGATAGTTGTGGTATGCTTGACCCAAAAGTCCAGTCAATAACATGCATCCAGACTGGTCCGATGAAGCTTCTGTCAGAGCATTCATCACATCTGACAGCTATAATAGCTACCTTGAATCACTTCGTCTAAATGACAAGAATACTGATACTTATGGTCTCCCAATGGTCATTGCTGAACTCACAGACGGTTTCTTCCCTCTATGGAACGTAGGGACGATTTACACGTTCAGTTTTGCCTATCCTATAGCGCCAGAAACACCTATCAACCTGCGTGGTTTGACTCCCGACGTTCCATACGACATCCATTATCCGGGCCGATGTGGCGCGCGGCAACCCAAATATGGCTGGATCCTAGATCCACAGCTTGTGGAGGGACGTCTGGTCAAGAAAGGGATGACTTTGGAGACATGGGCACCCACGAAGTCTGTGGAGAAGCAGCTGGAGGTGTATAACGACGTGAGAGAGCAGCTTGGTGAGTAATGGAGGCTTGAAGTTGAGGCGCTGCACCCGCTGCACGTGGATGAGGCTACCTGGAATTTTTCCGAGCTGGAGGACCCTATGACAGAGTCAGAGCCAGAGCCAGAGGCCAGCTTGGAGACCAAGCTTGGGCAAATCAGTCTTCAGAAATGGAACACATCTGTAATTCAGCATGTGAAGCCTGGAAGGGTTGAGATGTTACCTAGGTACACAAAAGACATCAATCCATTCACATGATGAGATCTTTGTTTTGATGGTACTCGGGGAGCCATCCAACGCAGCGCCACGCCCCCCAAGATGTCAATATCGATTCAAGTTAGTAGGAATGTATATTGGGAAATCTGCAAGCGGTTCCTCCATCAGCCAAGCAGAGAATTATCTGAGAATGGAGGTGGAGCCGAGCTCTATGAGGCACAAGATGAGGTCAAAGTCCTGGTGGCCGGGTGCTGGGGGCAGAAAGGTGTGCTAGATGAGGCAAAATGGCCGATACGAGCTAATAGGGCGAGAGTTTTGGTGCCATTTTTGATGACTATGTTTTCACTGTAGACCAGGGTTGAGTCTAGTAGTGAGGATGCGGGTACATGGTCGTTGAGGCATGGGAAGTTTTCCCAAGTTGTGGTTCCTAGTTGCGCGAAATGAATGTCCTAGGAGCAAACCAGCGATTTGCTGCTGAACGACTTCGGGCTTCTAAGTAGAAGAGTTTTTATGTTACCTAAGTGGGATTGAGTAATTCTGAATTGTGTGGCTCAGCTTGCTACTCTACACAACCGGTCAGATGGGTGTCCAGGAGACACCATATCTAGGTGAGGCAGAGGTTGGAGTGCACCATGATTCTCTTGATGTGTCCTCTCACAAGGACTAACAGCTACTGATTGAATACCAGATCAATTAAAAATTCAGCTCAATGGGACGCTGTGTCCTATAATATCTCAGCGATTCATTCGCTCCTCGTTCTTTTAATCTTTAATACATTTCGTTGTCGTTTTCCCATCAAGTATGTGGACTATATTTCCGAGATGTATAAGTGGCTACCATCCAAGAGAAGACCATGCATCCCGCTCACAACCCAACGTTTTGCGTAACAAAATCCAAGATCTTGCTATACGTGAAGGGATGGGAGTACTCCAAGTTCAGTCCGTGCCCAGCCTCCCCGACAACGACAGCCTCAAATTTGCTGGCATTTGGGAATAACGGCCTGCTCTTCTCGAGGTAGTTTGGAAGGGAGGAGCCGGTCAACAGGCAGTCTCCACCACAAAAGGGGATATCTCGACCTGTGAGATGTCAGTCTCTCAATCTCAGCTCTGAGTTCAGTATTATGGTTTCGGACTCACCTCCAGTGATGATCAAGACCGGGCCCGTCAGAGGATTCGGTTGCGCAGTCGCACCAGCAAGAGTCAATAGCTCACCGACAGTGACCGGCTTGCCCGATGTGGCCGCCAAATCCAACAAGGCAGGGTCAAAACTCCCAGGGGCGAAGAAGTCTGTCTGAACACCGGAGGGGTTACCAGAGGCGAGGTACCCGTCCGGGTAGTCCACAAAAGGCAGCAGCCCGTTGGCGGAGACGAAGTCCGCGCCGAGGGCGAAGTACGCGCTGAACTGGCTGGCCTGGCTGAACCCGGTCAGCACGAGCCCGTCGCTCGCGCCGGGGTGGAGCACGGCGAGGGAGTAGCTCTGGATGCTGCCGAACGAGTGGCCGACGTGGACGACCTTGTCGAAGCCGGAGCCGATGCAGTCGATGGAGCCGTCGCGCAGCTGGTCAGTCAGGGTCTTGAGCGCCGCGATCTCCAGTGAGGACTGGATCTCGTTTACGGGTTCCCCGTGGTCGGACTGGGCGATTCCGAGGCGGTCCCACGCGAAGGTGCTGTAGCCGTAGTCGTCGTTTGCTACGGCCGCGTAGCTGTAGTTGTAGTCGTTGATGGAGAGGTCCCAGTACGTGCGGTCAAATCCGATTCCGTGGGTGAGTAGCTGAAGAGTTTCAGATGGCCCATCATCTGGTTCGCAGTATGTTGCCGCCACGGTGTAGGTCTTCTTGATGGTTGCATACTGTTGATTGTTAGAGTTTGGAATAGGCATCGCCTCGTTCAAGAAGGGGGACTCACGCCGGTGAGAGCTTCATTTGTGAGGTTATGACTTTGGCGAGTCAAGTCCAGAACAAAGTTGGTCACCTCGATGTTGTCTGTCGGTGCTGTTCGGTTGAACACCGCATTTCGTGAGACAACGGGCACATCGACAGTGAGATCGGTGCACTTTCGAGCAGAGGACAGACTGGCCAACACGAGCGCAGCCCCCAGAGAGGACGAAGGTGTGTACATCATATCGAACGATTGCGCTTGTGCAATTGAGTTCAGTGGATGATATGAAGTCGAGTATGCATAGAAATACCACAGTGGACGTGATCTCTACACAGCACAAGGGGGCCCATGGCAGCTCCTTTTATACAAAGCTTGACGACAGGAGTAGTGCACATCATCATTACATGCGCCTGTTCCTGAGCTACGGAGAGCTACTTCTGCAAGATCGATCACACTCCCCAGGTTGCTAGACCGACTTGTGGTTACATTCGGTACCTGATGAATAATGCCCAAGCGATCAAATGTGGTCCCTAGCGCCAAGCCAATGAGATGAGCCTGGCGGATGCGAAGCGTGGTGGGACAACTCGAATCTTACCGAGGTGCGAGGTGAGTATTTCGGGCTACCTGGGTGCTCTATCCTAGAGCTGCATTAGAGTGCGTCGCGGGCGGCCGTCGATGCGTGTTTGCGGATGAAGGAATTCCAAATGCAGAACGCGAGCCCGGAAGACATCGGTGAGCTCGGCACGGCAGAGAACCATCTAACTGACATCAAGCCCGTACAGTCAGCTCTGTCCTCACGGCAGATCTCCATGTGTTCGGGACGTGATATTGCACTCCGGCTCATCCGCGGGCCGGATCCACTAGTAGTAATGGGGACCGGTCCAGTGCTAACCCGCTTGTGTGCTGTCAAATGGCGATCGCCTCACTTCCTGGATTGGGAAAATCACTCAAACTGGAGGCTGCTAACGACGATGACGGGGCGTCAGCTGAAGAGAAAACCTGCCGATCCCGCGGCACTTGACTCGGGCCATGGAGGATGGTTAGGAAAACATCACTCACACAACATGGCTCCACCGAACAAACAAATCCTGCAGATGTCGCTTAAACTGCATGCATACTGTATGTGGTCAGCTGACGCCGTATGCAGTCAATCAACATATGACTTGGCAGAAACACAAGCCCGCGTCCAGACGGGCAGGACTGCTTACATCACGCTCATTGGTCGTGTCTATGCACACATGGCTGGACCAGCGGGGAACTGCGGTATCTAGGTATCTCATGATAAGATGGATCCTATACGACTGGACTGGACCTCAGGCAGCTCTTTCACTGGACTATATAGATACCACTCCTTCCTCCCTCGCTACCGTCAAAACCACCGCTTGTCAGGGGAACACGCTGCTTCGACTCTCACAGAATGTCATGTTGCTTGCAACTAGAATTTACCTGAGTTTCCATAAATGTTCTGCAGCTTTTCATACGTTACGAGTTTCTTGGTTTGGTCCAGGCAATCATCGCGGCCATGAGTCACCACGCCGCCGGGAGCCGCAATGTTACCCTGGGCCTTTGGGCAGCCATGATGCAAGCTGCCGCCACCCCGATTTCTCCTCTGATGCCTCATAGCTCAAATCTGATGTAGAAGTGGCACACATTCGACCATCACGAACAATGGTTACAGATATGTTCAACATCGAGCAATTGAAATCTGAGTTATCGTCCACGGATTTCAAGTCAGTCGAGGCATTGCTCCGGCAACTTGACAAAGACCTCACTCTCAGGACGTATCTTCAAGGCTACGCTCTCAGTCCCGCCGGCGAGCAAGTACGGCGCGCGATCCGAGCGAATAGTATGGCCAATGCCGTAGCCCGCCGGGGCAATTTGTCTCATCTGTCACGGTGGTTGAACTACCTCGAAATTGCTCATCCCGATATCCAGACCGAGCTCAGCGCTTCCCAAAACCGAGCCCAAGACAAGCGCGCTGCTGTGAGCAGAGCCGGAGGGAACTATAACATTGGCCTCAAAGGCACCGAGAACGGAGTGGTGACTAGATTCCCACCAGAACCGTCGTGAGTTTTACCACAATCTCAGGCTTCATACAATATGGAGAAACAGCGTCTGATTTACACAGAGGGTACCTACATATCGGTCATGCGAAGGCGGCTTTTCTTAACGACTTTTTTGCACATAATGCCTACGATGGGAAGCTCATTGTTCGTTTTGATGACACAAACCCAGCCAAGGAGAAGCAAGAGTTCGAGGAAGCCATCCTTCAAGATCTGGGTTTGCTTGGTATCCAACCCGATCAGGTCACTTATACGAGTGACCATTTCTCTCAATTATGCGAGATAGCCGAGCAGATGATCCGCGACGGCAACGCCTACGCCGACGACAACGATCCCGAGGCGCTGACAGCGGAGAAAAAACAACGTCTCCCAAGCAGGAGGCGAGACCGCCCCGCAGACGAAAGCCTAGCCATGTTCAAAGAGATGCGCGCAGGTACCCCTCTTGGAAAACAGCACTGCCCAAGGGCTCGCATCAAGTTCGACTCGCTAAACGGAGCTTTACGAGACCCGGCCATCTACCGGTTTCCGCACGTGAAGGATGCACACGGCAATCGCTCAGACAGCGCGGGTAGCCCATCACCGCACAGGCTGGGCCTGGAACATCTACCCGACGTACGATTTCGCATGCCCGGTCGTCGACTCCATCGAAGGCGTCACGCACGCCCTCCGCACGACCGAGTACGCGGACCGCAACGAGCAATACCACTGGTTCCTCGGCGCCCTAGGCCTCCGGCCGGTCCATCTCTGGGACTTTGCTCGCATCAGCTTCGCCCGCACGTTTCTTTCCAAGCGCAAGCTCGCCCAGGTCGTCGATTCTGGTGTTGGCACCGGGTGGGACGACCCTCGCATGCCCACGGTCCGCGGCATACTGCGCCGTGGCTTGACTGTGCAAGCGCTCCGGGAGTTCATGCTGGGGCAAGGTCCGAGCCGTAATGCCGTGACGATGGACTGGACGATATTGTGGGCCATGAATCAGAAGGTTATCGACCCGGTCGCGCCACGTCACACCGCAGTCGAGACGGAGAAGATGGTCACGGCGACAATCTTGAACGGGCCTGACGTGTCGTACTCTGAGCCTAAGCCCAAGCACCCGAAGAATCCTGCCGTCGGAACAAAATCGGTCACGTATGGTCGGCCCATACTTCTTGACCACGCTGATGCGGCATCCCTTGCAATTGGTGAGAAGGTCACTCTCATGGGCTGGGGCAATGCTATCGTCAAAGGGTGCAACAACTCCGGTGACGGTACAATCAGAGATTTGGTATTGACGCTTCAGCTTGATGATACGGACTTTCGTAAAACCAAGAAAATCACTTGGCTGGCCGGTGACGGGTCTAATCTTGTGGAGGTCGAGTTATGGGAGTTTGATTATCTGCTGACGAAGGATACCCTTGGTAAAGATGACAATCTGGATGATTATCTCACTCCTGTGTCCGCTTCGACGACCGACGTGCTTTGCGATGCTGATGTGGCACATCTGGAGACAGGTGACATCATTCAGCTGGAGCGCAAGGGCTTTTACCGCGTTGACAAAGCTTTTGGAAAAGGCCCGAGAGGTAAGGCGGTTCTGTTCAAGATACCTAACGCTTCCAAAGGCTAGACGGCATATACATGGTGGAAAGATGAAGAGAAGAGGATTACAATTGGTTTGGGGAATGAACAGACCAGACCATCTGGCTTGTTATATAAATTGGGTGTGTAAATCTAGTTTGTGAATTATCGCGGGTATGTAAATCAGGTTTGGGTATATAAATTGGGTGAGTGCGTTGGGTGTGGGTGTGTTGGGCATAGGTGCACTAGGCGTGTAGTGTCTGTGTCCATCCGTTTCTTTCTGTGCGAATATCCGGTCTCTCAGAAAATGGTACTGCAGCTGTCCCTGACGAAAGATCAAGCTGGTATGGAATTTCAAAGTCCTAGGCAAAAAGAAAAGAAGAAAAGAAGCACTCGGGTAATCCATTTTATCTGTTGCTAGTGCCAGCAAGCACCAATATGAGTCCTCGTTCAGGACTCCAAACGTAAAAGGATAGTTGACTCCACTTAGAATTGAAGAGGTAATATAGGATCAATCAGGGGGAACTGGCTACAGTTCCCCCATCATGAGTATCAAGGAGATAGCGCTATTTAACCCAAGACTGAAGTTTCTCAAATGATGGTACCAGTTCACGTAACTTTGCCCTCATCCGTCTCATATTACTTTCCTGTCGAACTGATATCCTGGGTATCATTACACACTACCACAATCTCCCTTGCTTCATAAAGCGAACATTCACTTCGACCTATCATCCATCTTGACCCCTACGTGAGCTTTGACTATGCTCAATACCACCGAGTCGCCTACCAGTTGGCGAGCATGGCAGCACCACCGAACAGGGCAGCGGCGCCGACGGCGGCAGTCTGGACGGGCACACCAGCCTCAGCGGCCCCGCTGGAAGTGGCAGTGGCACCGGCGCCACCGGTAGGAGCAGCGGTACCAGTAGCGGTGATACCAGAGGTGAAGGGGATGTCCGAGGCGCTGCTGGCACCGCTGAAGGCCGGGAGCTGGGTGGAGGCGGTGACGTCCGGGCGGGCGGTGGAGTTGTCGGGGTTCAGGACGTTGTCGATGACGTGGACGACGCCGTTGGAGACGAGCACGTCGGCGACCTCGACCTCGGCCGAGTTGACAAAGACGTCGCCCTCGTCGATTGTGATGGTGACCTGGCCGTTGTTGAGGGTGGTCAGCTGGGCGCCGCTGGTGAGCGAGGAGCTGTAGCCGACGGTGCCCTGGACGACGTGGTAGGTCAGGATGCTGGACAGCTGGTCGGTGGACAGGTTCGCGGCCAGGTTCTGGATGGCGGCGAAGGCCTCGTTCGAGGGCGCGAAGATGGTCACGTCCTGCGCCGTGTCAACGGTGGAGACCAGGTCTGCGGTGGTCAGGGCACCAGCAAGGGCGGTGAGGTTGGCTGCGAGAGCGGTCGCGCTGTCGTTGGCGGGGATGGTGAGCACCGAGTCGATGATGTGGACAATTCCTCCCGTGAAAGTCACGTCCGCGGTCGCAACGCGGCTCTGCCTTAGAAGACCGCTGGTGAACACGACACTGTTGTCCTCGGTCTCAGCCTTGACAACCTGTCCGCCGGTGACATTGGTGTAGGTGGAGTTGGTGAGCAGGGTCTTGGGGAAGGCAGGAGTATCGGTGATATCCGTGGACCTGATTGTACCGTTGAGAACGTGGTAGGTCAGGACTTGTGTCTGATCAGCAACCTGGTCACTTCCCATTATATGCACCAGGCAAGCGAAACTCATATCAAGGAGAGAGTTTGTGGCACGGAGTGCTTCCTTCTGGACCTTCCCTGGAGCGGAAGGGGGAATCCACACTTACTGGCAGGGACAAGACCTGGGTCGGCGGCAACAGCGGCCGTAACTGACGAGTCGTTCAGAAGGGCCGAGAGGGCAGCGTTGTTCGGTGCCAGGACGGTGATGTTGGACAGACCACCCAGTGTTTGGGCAAGGTCGGGATACTGGCCAAGCAGTGTTGCGAGCTGAGATAGGTCCTGGTTCTGACCGATGAGATCAGTCAGAGACTGGCCGGAGACAACGCCAGCAAGGGCGAGAGCGGTGAGCTGCTTGAGTTGCATGATGGACGTCTCTCTGGTTGATATCACAGTCTGGTATCAAAGTTTCCGTTTGCTCGTCAGTGAAGTAAGCTTGGCGTTTTCCGTGGTGTTGTTGTTGAGGGCTGGACACTTGAGCAGAAGATACAGTGGTAAATGAGTGAGGGTCGAAGGGGTTATTAAATCCGCTTCAGACGCCATACCAGTGACAAAGCACACATTGGGAGGAATATCTATGATGTGGTCATACCAAGATATCCTTTCCCTTACAGCCTTGGCGACAACAAGGTAACTTGTGTCGCAACAAGAGCTCGGAAAAAAGGCAAAGTTCAGAGCAGATGCCGGCCACTTGGCCACAAGGATCAGCTTGACGGGGAGGGCGGCCGCAGCCTGTGAGTGGTTGGTCAATGGACAGGGCAGAAAGGTTCGAGAGCTGTCGAGCAGGAACGCCAGAGACGACATTGAGATGATGGATGGCCTCATGACGCGGCCCGCCTCGTTTCTCGGCATGGCATAGCTCATGTCTTGGGCGTTTTACCTGAGCCACCTTTCAAGATCCTGGTGCTGACCGGCGGCCTTGGTATGCCTCCGGTGCTGCTAACGTAGCTGATATTGGGCATACTTGGGCCATGTGATTCTAGTGTTTCGTCCGTGCTTCCTGGGGTTGATTGCTAATATCGAGGAAACATGTCCCGCTGTTGTTGGACTACACTGGTAGGTGTTAGACGCGAATGTTATCTGGGCATATACGCGGACGACGGCTAACAGGATTACTGAGACGCATACTCGGTGTTTGTTCTTTCATCATGTCTCCACCCTTGTCTCACACCTCCAGACACTTGAATGGAGATGTGCGTGAGGACTGCAGCAGGCTGTGCCCTCCACGATGTCCCACTGGAGGTAGTACCCATGCGTAATGATCTACCAGAGTGCCCGTGTCGCAACTACTGCAGTTGATCCGAACCCAACTAGTGGGAATGCGACTGCATCCCGAAACGGGAACATCTTTCATCGTGGGCTCGATGTTCGTGGGTTTTCTTGGAACCCTTGGAGTGACAGGGTCTGGGCATCAACTGCTGGACCAGGCGGAAAGCTTAACAAGAAGGATCCATGGTTCGCCAGGTGATGAGTGCGCTAGCACGCCTTTCCCCTTCTGTTCACGTAATATCTCGAGCAGGTCACGCCTTTGTGCGACAGTCCGGGGGCTGTGGGATTGAGTAGCCAGCATTCGAGTAACCCAGGAGACGCCTCATTTCCGGTTTGAGGAATATGTTGCTGTTATAATGTTGATCCTTCGTGAGACTCTACGATGAGGATTCATAATAACCCGTGTCGTATTATGGGTCAGCGCAGGACGCCTGATGTTGGATATATGAAGGCGGAAGGTGAGGATGAGGACTGGAGAAGTCATGTCGTCAACGGGAATTAAGGTTGAGTTCAGCGCCCTCCTAGCGCGCCTCATGTCACCTTGCCATTGGCCAGAGCTGCTGTGGGTCCACGGCTCGCACGGCCAGCAAGCACGAGGCTACAACGGGACCCCTGTTTTCCCCGCAACGTCTGGGACCCTGTCAGCCCAGGCACCCGGGCTGATGACTTTTGGTACGCATCGGATGGATCGCAGCGATCTTCTGTTTTACCATGTCTTCCAAGCTAGCCACTCTGCTGGGCGTGCTGCCCATCGTGCCTTGGCATCAACTCACACCCAGCCTGGGCTGCCTCAATTCAAGACTTGGGTTGTTAGTGCGCGCCGCATTTCTCTCTCCGTCGTCTCTCATTTCACTTGGCACTGCGGCTTCTGGTCAAGACGGACTGTGGTGTTTCCGAGTCTGATTGGGCTGGCTGACTTGGCGGAGTTCCCAGCGTGCCGAGTTCCATACCAATGCGATACCTCGCGATCCGGACTCCGAGCCAAGCCGGCCCACCTTGGTATCTACAGAAGATCGCACAAGAACGTGCCAAGTGTATTGGCAAGAATTGCTTGCTCTGTCACTTAAGAGGTCGGTAGCCTCGAGCTTTCAAACATATCATGGCCGCTCCAAACTCGACCGCAATTCCATGAGGCGAGATGTGATTCATTGGTCATATTTCCAAGTCTTTACTCAGCTGGCTCCTCTGTCCCGATCTCCCCGAGAGACATTCCCTTCTTGCAGCGCATCCGTTTCCAGCCTTGTTGTTCAATGTTTGTGTCTCGAGAAACACTGCATTATTCTCATAAATGTGTTTGTTCTATATCACACATTATACCCATGGTTGATGCGTAGCAGCCAACTTTGTGTTCTGGTAAAGAAAAGGCAGTGCGGCTTATGTGAGAATAATTACTCTATACATGAAGAAAAGAGTATGCTAATTCGCACCAGCAACTGAAGTCAAAGATTACAAGCAACTCATTCGCTGCCCAGCGTAGACTTCGAGACGAGAGGCTGGCATAATTTCACGAAGTTTTACGTCCACGTATTGTCTTGAGTACTTGAAGCACAAAAGTCGATAACATGCGATTGAGTTACCTAGGTACTATCCGCAATAGACTAATGAATCCCATAGATGTAGACCTTTACTTCAGTTGTAACCCGTCCATGCTAAACGTGTGGTTTCCCTTTTAAGCTCCGATTCATCTTTGGCCTTTACTATTCGGAGTTGAACTGGAAACATCACGGGCCAGGTAGACGAATCAGCAATTACACTCGTTGTCGACACAAGCCAAGTCGGCGGGCGATACGATTACATCCCAAATCTACAGATGAAATCAGAAGGAGTCGACGAGGGAAGCAAGTGACGTGGATACCGTTGGATCAGTTTGAAATTTCATTTCAATGAACTTGCTCACTAGCCAACATTCAAGACGGCGCGTGTGTCATAGCATCAAGAAATGAAGTGACCAGAACGGCCTGACCCTTAGCACGAATCCATGGGGCAGCCAACCATAGTGCCATAGACATCACCAGAGACACCGCCCAGCTGCAGAGCAGCCCCAATAACACCACCCAGGCCCTCACCAGCGATCAAACCCGCGGCAACGGCAAAGCAGTATCTCTCAAAGCTGGCTGGTTTCTTCTTCTGCCAGAAGTGGCTCACGATGGCGCCCATCAGCGTCGCGGTGCTGTAGTACGTCTGCGGGATGACGAAGGCAACCCCAATGGCCATCCAGTTGGGCAGCCACTGGCGGTACTTCTCGCGTGTACCGACAAGGAAGAAGTTCTTGAGGACGACCTGTGCGATACAGACGCCGCCCAGCACAAGGGCGAAGATACCTGAGCTGAGTGGGATAGGCACCTGGGGGTTCGTGACTGCTTCTGCGACAGCTTGCCAGGCAGTCACACTTGGGGCTACGTTACATTAGCAACCAGTATCAAACCAGGGTTGGCACGAATCTGCGATTCCACCCTCGGGGAAGACAAGACAACACAGTGAGAACTCTATTACATACCGGAAAATGGACAATGGTCGTATAAGTCGGGCTGCAATACGCAGGGATACGCAGCCATGAATAGAACGAAGATTCCTAAAACATACCCATTAGCAACAACCGGGCCATATTCTTGAGTTCGTGAATCACCGTACCTGGTGCCAAGAACATAGCAACAACAGTCCCAAGGCCCTGAGCCCAGAACTGCAGATTCGGCGGCGTCCTGAGGAGGAACCCCACGCGGAAGTCGCTGACCAGTGAAGCCGACATATCCGCAGCACCAGACGCGATACCACCGGCGACGAGGTTCGTGGCCTGGGCGGTCTTGATGCCGAGCCCCTGCCCGCTGGTGATGCCGCCAAAGACGAGCTGGGAGGCCTTGGCGCTGGCGGTCAGCGGGGCGATGTCCGTGACGCCGGCGCCGTGGATGCTGAGGAAGGGCGAAGATGATGGCGAGCAGGCTGGCGAGGATGCAGAGCCCGGCGTTGATGTGGAACTGGAGCTCGCCGATGATGCAGGTCATGACCACGACGACGACGGTGCCGAGCATCCACACCCACGTGCTGACCTGCTGCTCCGGCGTCGCGAAGTCCTCGACCAGGCCGCGGTTGTCGTCCTTGTTGCGCGACTGCCTCTCGAGGAAGGGAACCCCACGGGCCTGGCGCCGGCTGGCTACGAGCTCGTTCACGGTGCCTGCTGCAGACTTCCACGCATATTTTGCGCCATAGTAGAGGATTTTCCAGTGCACCAGGAACTCCCATACTATAGCATACGAGCACCATTACGCCCGGCCACAGGAACCAGTATCGTGGGGATGGGATGTAGTCTGGGTCGTTGATACCGGACATGGAGTAGAATGAGACATATCCGCCCCACTTTGGATCCTCCTCATCGTACGCCTTGCCGATGCAGATTCCATAGTGGACAAGGATGGGGCCCATGAAGCCCCAGGCGAGGAATGTGCCAGAAAACATGCTAACTTGAGAGATGTTAGCAAATCGAAACACGGTGCGCGTAATACTCGTACGAAGAAATGCTCACTAGCTGTGTTGAGACCAACGAGCATACCAGACCCCAAGAAGGCAGGTGTCCACTCGATCATCCAACCCCAGTTCTCAATATTGATGGCCCAGTTGTTGTAGTTACCCCAGATATAGAACCAAGTGAAGACGTGCCAATCATACAGGATGCCGGTAGCATAGTACGATGCCACGCGCTGGACGAGGGCAATACCAAAGGCAAGGCCAAGCGCTTTGATCTTCTTCATGGCCTCAGTGGCCCCCGTGCCGACAGCATGCATTGAACGGATCGCAACGGCAGTAGCGGTGGCTGATTCCACACAGGTCAGTTAGGCCAACAGAAAGACAACGCGGGAAAAGACTCGGGCGGACTCACGCGACGGGAAGATCAAGCGCAGCTCCCTCGAGACATTGATGATGAAGAACTTGCGCAGCGGCACCGCGAAGAAGAGGCCGAAAGTCGAGCAGACGAGCGTAAGGGTCAAAATGCGTCGGAAGTCATCGCGCGGGTCTTCAGAGAGGAGTCCCAGGCGATACATGGCCGGGAGCGCAGCAACAAAGAGGCCTGTCATGCCGCCGGCGCCAGTGGCCGCGGCCTGTATGATGCTGTTCTCCTGCGGGCCGAACTTCTCGAGCCCGAGGAAGGGGACGCCGGGCGCGATCTTCTGCAGGATCTTGATGGCCCCGAAGCCGAAGACGGCACCCATCATGGACGCGCCAAACGTGAAGCCCGTCTTGAGACCTGCAGAGCGCGGTTAGGCGGCGCGGTCGCGTCTCGTGGCTGGGGCCGCGAGCGAGGACTTACCCAGGTAGACATTGGACGCGTTGACCAGCGATCCGAGAATGATCCCGACGACGAGGGCCCGCACGGTCAGAGGCATGGGCTCCTCTGGGACGCCCTCGAGCGGCGGCAGGGGCGAGAAGAGGTCGACGATCACGTCTTCTTGCGGCAAGACGTCGGCCTTCTCCGGGTTCTCGATCGAGTCGCGAGTTGGGACGCCGACGGCCTCCGGGGTCGGCATGGTCTTCTCCAGCTCAGCCATGTTGACAGGGTGGGGCTTTCGGCCGTAACTTCAAAATGGTATCACAGGCTCCGAAACTGGGAAAAGAAGTCGCAGATGGAGAGAAGGAGGGTCCCAAGACCTGGTTACCGGCGCATCAGGCTGTGATAAATCTCCAGACCCTTCTTTAGGTCTACCTTGGCGTGATTGACACTTTGTGTGGCAGAGCGACTGGGTCTGGAAAATGTGCTACGTTTTGTGTTCGAAGCGGGCGTATGGCTAAGCTCTGAGTGCAGAAAGGGCACCCTTTTTAAAGACGTACATGGGGTATGTACCACCCTACTCACTGGTAACCCCCATCGTTGCCATACTCTGCGCCAAAGACAAACTCCTTTCAGAGATTAGCCGTGATAGTAAAGCCTTCCTCAAGAGGCTGGCGACCCCCCTTAACCTTCCACTATAACGAGCCAAGAAGTCCTATGATTCGGAGACGGAACCCCTCGCGATGTGTACAAAACTTCCTCTTGGCCGCCTCCTACCTTGGCGAACCACCCATTCGCGCTTGACTATATCATGGTGGGGAGAAAGTCCGTGAGAGGACTTCCAAATCCAGGCACAAGATAGGACGGCCTTGATAGCGGAAAGTGAGGCCCAGATCCATCCGAGGGGTTCTCACGTGGCACGACATGCACCTTGCAGCGTTGCAAGGTGTTGCCTTGGCTCAGCCAGCCTCAAGCATGATACCGTTTGAAAAAGGGGGGTGGGCGCAAGAGGGGTGGCAGATGGGCAGCCACTTGGACGACTGGCTGGTGGAAGATCCAACTGCACGGTAAAGCTTCTACAAGCTCAAAACAGCGATGAGACCCAAGAACGGAGCTATCGTGAGCTTCGTCTTCCAGATGCTCGACTTGGAAGGTCATAAGCATTGCCCAGAGGCTGCCCAGGACGCCTCTAAGGCTTCGGCTGATTCTGGAATCCTTTTTCCCGCTGGTCTGGAAGACCTATGGTTTCTAGTCAAAAGAGGCCAACGCGAATCTGGCCGGGGCGGTTGGGCGGTTGATGTTGGATACGGACGAGGAGGCCCTGGTCACATGTTGTTAAACGCTCGCGGTGCCTAGACCGGCAAGATTGTGATTCGACAGGTCCATATCAGCTTGGCAAGCCAGACTGAATTGCCCAGAATTAGGGCAGCTTGGCCAGCCGACTAATACAACCCAACATACCTTGGTGTGGCTGCTCTCGAGATAATAGTTTTGTATTCGAGATAAAACCTGCTCCGATAAATATCTTGTGATAGAGCTGTACGACAATCCAACGGATAGCTGTCTTCCTCGGCAAAGCGCCACGCCATATTTCGACTTCAGCCAAAGCTGGGATTCCTCCATTGGTTGACGACGTGCAGGTTCGCAGACCACTTGATCAAAATGGTGCTGTGCCACAAGACTGAAGGATGGATGCGAGACATAAAATTGCGACGGCTGCTGCAAGCAGCTCTTATCAAGCGATTTCTCAGTCATCAAAAACTGAGCCTTGCTGATCAAACGCCCGAGAGGCTTGATGAGGCGCTGAATCCGTTTTCCTATTTTTTCATGCTGAATGTTTCCCTCTGTATGCGCGCTCCAAGAACGCCTTCCTTTGCAACCCGGTCCATGTTCAGAAACGCCTGGTGCCAGACACCATCCTCCCTGTATGAAATGCTTGTGTTGATATGATGGTGCTTAGTCCTGGCCCCCTGGTCTACCATCCAGCCATTTACTCATGTAGGGCCCATCTAGCCAGTACCCGAGCTTTTTGTAATAGCTCCTCACACCAACGCCTGAGATAACACTGATCTTCTCGCTCCCGTGCTCGTCTCTCGCTATTCTCTCCGCCTCCTCCATCAGTAGGGTTCCAAAACCTTGATGCTGGAACTTCTTCGGGTCCCTCGCATGCACAGGCACCGCTGTCCCGTAGACATGCAGCTCACGCACCAGGCTTGTCTGCTGGCCGACGAGCTCCTCGCGGTATGTGTACTTCTCGGTGCACTTTCGCAAGCGCAGCAATCCGACGAGAATGTCCTGTTTGGGGTCCTCGTAGGCAAGAAATGTCTCCCAGCCTCCATTCGCTGTGTAGTCTCTCCGGACAAGCTCAATCTGGTTGGGTCGGATCTTGTTCTTGACTTCGTTGACGCCAACCTCACGGGTCCGTACGTCACGGCAGGTTGTGCCGAAGTCCTTCATGCGAGCAAGGGCTAGTTCACGAAGGTTTCCATTCTCGACGCCAGAGGTGACAAGCGGCATCGGGATGTCGCGCTGAACACGATAGATACGAGTCCAAGGGGGGATAAGAGCCAGGATACGCGCGACAAGATCTATGAGCCCGTTTGGTGTGTAGTTTTGGTAGCGGCCTGTCCGCCATAATTCATAGAGACCTGTTCCCCTGATGACCAAAGTTGGGTAGATTTTGAGGCCGTCAGTCCTGAAGGCTGGGTTCTCGAAGTATTCGCGAAACTGGTCAAGGTCGCGCTCCATTCCGACGTTTGGTAGATCGGGCATCATGTGGCTGACGACCTTGAAACCAGCGTCCTTGGCAAGGCTGAACGTCTCTGCTACTGAGGCGACAGTATGCCCTCGGTTGGTGTCTCTTGCAACATCCTCGTACAAAGACTGCACTCCGATCTCCAGCCGTGTGCAGCCGTAGCGCAGCATACTCGAAAGATGCGGTTGCAAGCAGTAATCCGGCCGTGTCTCGATCGTGATGCCCACACACTTTGTGTTGCTCAATTCGCCTGCCTCGACCGCCTCGTCCACGTTCGAGGTTTGGTATCCGCTGAGTGCATTGTGCAGCTGGGAAATGAAGTCGTCCCTGTATGACTCTGGGAGAGACATGAACGTGCCTCCCATGATGATGTATTCCACCTTATCCACTGAATGCCCTAGCGCCTTCAACTGATCAACACGGCCACGGGCCTGCTCGAACGGGTCATATCTTGCGCGGATTGCTCGCATTGACGTAGGCTCGTACCCGGTGTAGGACTGTGTGCTGTACTCGAAATCGGAGTCTGGCCCTCCTGGGCAATAGACGCAGATATTGCCGGTATACGCAATATGTGGGCATCGGTGAGGCTTGCACATAACGGCAACGACTGCTATCCCCGAAGAAGTCCGTATTGGCTTTGCGACCAGTTTGGGCAGGATGTACTTCTTATAGTGTTCGGGGACGGCGGCGATAATGGCAGTCAGGGAAGGCATGTTGTTAATCTTGTGCTTTTTGGCGAGTCTTGATCGGAGCGAGTTCAAGTTGAGGTCTTTTTTCGGGCGTCTCGAGTCCTGGGAAGCCTCATGGTCCTCGATGAGGGCGTTGGCGATGTCCGCGCAGCACCGTAGGAAGCGCTCGTTCTCCGGAGGGAGATCAGCGCCTTTCTTGCGCTTCGTCTCCGTCATTGTCACCGTAGTCGTCGACATCGTGTACGTATTGGAATTCACCGTTCTCCTGGCGACAGAAGTGCTGTAGGTGGGCTCGGGTGACAAATGCGCCTTTTCGATTCGGCGCTCGTTGGTGTGGAGTTGACTCAGTGGATTTGCGACTGCAGCAAAATGCAATGCTACTGAAGACCAGAATAACAATTGCTTGTTAGTCAAAGAGCTGCCCCTCGTCGAGATGGAAATTTGTTAGTAGCGATAAGCCTTGCGGCGACTGATAAGAATTGGAGTTCCTGGCCCGGGCCTCGGCAGGCAGGACGGGTACTTTCGGAACCACACGGCTGGTCCTGAGAGTATCGTGCTATCGTCTTAGCCGCAGAGCTGCCTTTGGGCCCGCTAGCTGTGGACTTGGCCCACCCTGCTGGTACCAAATCTGGGGACTGCACCTTGAAAGCTGGTAATAACAGCAGCAAGTGCAGGTGGGTGTGACAGGTGAGCTCTGTCCAGCTGCCAGCAGAGTAAAGTACACTACCAGTGAACCGTACGGATAAGCCCTGGAATTTGAAGCTATCCCCATCTGCATCGACGGCCTGCCTCAGCATCGTCCTCCTCTTGCAACTGATTTCCGCTCCCTCTCCACCTTCCTTTTCCTCCTAATAGCTCCACCGTCTTCGAGGCTGCGGACCTTCCAAGATGCAGGCATTCACCAGACAACTGCGACCTACCGGGTCAATCCTGCGCCAGCTCTCCAAGAGGACGTACAGCGCCCAGTCCGGCCCCTACCAGCAGACCATCGAGAACCTGAGGATCAACGGCGACACAGGTCATCTTCCAGGGCTTCACTGGAAAGCAGGGAACGTGAGTGAGGTCTTCCATCTGTCTGTCGTGCCGTCGCTGCACAGCTCGCAAACCTCCTGGCAACAGCCAAGCTTTGAGTGAAATATTCTCGGAAGGGTTTCACATGCTAACCTACGGGCTGCTACAACAGGTTCCACGCTGAGCAAGCCATCGCATATGGTAAACAACCATCGATACTCGATATCGTGCTACAGACAGCACTGCTCTGGAGAAAAGGAGGCTGATAAAGCTGTGTTCTCAGGCACAAAGGTCGTCGGCGGCACAAACCCCAAGAAGGCTGGCAGCAAACATCTTGACCTGCCCGTTTTCGCAAACGTTAGCGATGCCGTCAAGGAGACTGGCGCAACTGCCACAGGAATCTTCGTGCCGTAAGGAACCGCAACCCGGGGGAAGAGGAAGAGAGGAAAGAGACTTAAACATGAGACAATCCGGTCGCTAACCTGGTGGAACAGCCCACCTCTGGCAGCTGGTGGTATCCAGGAGGCCATTGAGGCAGAGATCCCTCTGGTCGTCTGTATCACGGAAGGCATCCCCCAACATGGTCAGCTCTGCGAAAACTCCCCCACAGTTCATGGCAAAGGAGCTAACATTCGGCTAAAGACATGGTCCGCATCACCTCCATGCTCAAGACCCAGACCAAGACCCGCCTTGTAGGCCCCAACTGCCCGGGAATCATCGCGCCCGGCCAGTGCAAGATCGGAATCATGCCCGGCTTCATCCACAAGCGCGGCCGCATCGGTATCGTCTCTCGCTCTGGCACCCTGACCTACGAGGCCGTCAACCAGACCACCCAGGCCGGCCTCGGCCAGAGCCTCGTCGTGGGCATCGGCGGCGACCCCTTCAGCGGTACCAACTTCATCGACTGCCTCAAGGTCTTCCTCCAGGACGAGGAGACTGACGGCATCATCATGATCGGTGAGATCGGCGGCTCGGCCGAGGAGGACGCCGCTGACTTCCTGCGGGCGAACAACACCGTCAACGGCGGTAAGCCCGTGGTGAGCTTCATCGCCGGTATCTCTGCGCCCCCCGGTCGTCGCATGGGCCACGCTGGCGCCATCGTCAGCGGCGGCAAGGGCGGTGCCGACTCGAAGATCAAGGCGCTCGAGAGCGCCGGTGTGATCGTGGAGCGCTCGCCTGCTGGTCTGGGTAAGGCCCTCCGTGAGGAGTTCGTCAGGCGCGACCTGCTATAAAGCGTCCTCGAGAACAAAACCTCCAGAGGGGTAGTGAGACGCCCCGCAGTGGTTCGTGTGGACTAGGATATGTAGTATAGGGAATTACCAGGGAACATTCACACGCTCACACACACGAAACTCGTCATTATGCCTGGATACTCTCTCACTGGGTAGGATAGGCCGAAAGAGGAGGAAGGGGACCAGTGCGCCCACGAGGTACTGGGAAGGCTCAGTTGGTTTGCATCAGTCAATGTAGTCATACCGTGTTTGGCGGTGCGTTCCTTCTTCATATTCGAATTTTCATAGACTGGGTGGAAGCGGCGTCAAATGGGCAACTCACGCCATGCCAATGCATTTTGTCCTACATCCGCATCGAGTTGTATAGTGCCATTCATCCAGCGATCTGTGGTATTTCCACTGGCATCTTCATCTCGCACCACGTAAATTATCATAGTCATGAATTGTGGACTACACATACAAGTCGGTCGGGGGTATGTTAGGGCTGTTATATAGCCAAGTGAGCTCATTTGATTCCTCTATATAGCCACTAGCCAAAGGCCGTGAGGACACCTCGTCAGCAGCCGCCCACGGAAAATACTGACACGCCTCACTACCAGTCCCGAACGCCCCCGTTATCCCTTATCTGCGAAGAAATGCATTCATGAAAAGCAAGACCACTGATAATGCTGTTGTCCCGAAGCCTCGAGGGACGGCTCAACTCCGTTACGGCATACAAGTAATTGCCACCTTCGCCCGTCTCCTGCCCTTGGAACTCCGTTTGAATGCTACGTGTCGACCTCCGTATGATGTCTCGCCATAACCGTCGCTGGCTGAACGCCCCAGCCTCCGGGGTTCTGTTGTTAAGAGATGCTCCGCGCTATTCCAACTTCCTTCTCCTTCGAAGGAGTGTCGTGTCTCATTGCTCGCCCAGGAGACGGGCGGTCACATCACCCATATATGCCTCCTCCATCTCGTAGTCGTCGCCGCCGTTGCGGTCGATACCCACATATTGGAATGCCTCCACGACGGCGTCGAGGTCGAAGCCCATGTTGACGAAGCGGTCGACAAGGTTCTTATTCCAGCCTTGATACCTAGTCACCCCGGGGGAGCCACGTCAGCTTGAGATGTCCAAGAGGTGGAAGTTTGGGAAGAAAGGGGCAAAGAAAAAACTGGTCTGTACGGCCCCAGCGTACTTTGCTATGTCATCCTCCTTCTTCTGTGTGGTCTTGCGCTGCAGCTGGTCCGGCGGCGGCTGTTTACGGGGCGCGCCGGCGTGCTTGACGGCCCAGTCGTGCGCCACGCACTCGAAGAACTCGTGATCGTCCATCATCATCTTGGCCACCTCGGCGTCCTGCGGGTCCTTGGGGTTCGGGGCCTCGAGGAGCATGCGCAGGGACAGGAGGGCGGTCTTGATGGTGCCGACGGGCGACCAGCCGCTCCCGAGAATATCGAGACAGATGGCACCCTGGAAAAAGGCACTGTGTGAGCGTGGCTCCCCTCTTTCGCTGCCTTTCCTCTGGCTGCTCCCCTATGAATCTGGACTCACTGTCTGGCTGCTGATGTTGGGGTGCCACATCTTGGTGTCGAACTTCATGACGGGCGACTTGAAGGGGTACATGTCCGGGATCTGGATATCGACTGTGTAGGTGCCGCCGGCATAGGGCGTATCTGGGGGCCCTGGGAAGGTGCCCTTGAGATGTGTGAGGTTGCTGGGATCGACGGGGGTCGCGAGGACGCCCGAGTTGTCCTTGTCCTGCTGGATGTCGCTGAGCTCCTTGAGGATGCGGCGCTCGCGTGTGCTCGACATTGTGAAGATGTTCTGTGCTGTGCTGCTGCTGCTGCTGTTGGTAACAAGGTAAGGCAAGGCAGAAGAGAACAAGGAGGGGTGGCAGAAGGGTTGGATGAGTGGGGTGAGTAGGCGACGGAGTGGAGGTCCAGTCAGCCTTGTACGATCTGGCGGAGACGTCGCTCTCGCGTGTCGATAGTCTATGGACGGAGGGGTCGAAGTGGATTGCCTAGGGTATAAAGCCCGGGGATCAATGGAAGCCCACGGGATGTGGCAGTTGGCATGTAGTCAGCTCGCTGCGGACGAGCTAGCAAACTGCCCGAGAGATCTGAGCCAACCTTGAAACTTGGGGACGGGGGAGTACAGTCGGATACAGTTCTGCAGTGAGGCAGGCTTGGGGAGAGATCGCCCACGCACGGCTTTGACGTCCCGAGGTTTGCTTCCTCAGGTGTTATCAGGTCCTGGGTAGACCCAGGCCAGGCCGATACTTTTCACGGTGACTTCATTGGGCCCGCATCATTCGCCGGGACGGTACCATTAACATACATGCGGCCTGTGCAGCGCAAACGGTTTCATGCAAGTACTGTCCAGGTACACACACGACTGGACGCTCCCGACGGAGTACGTACCGAGGAAGCCAGCTGGGACCGGGGGGGAGCACGAGCCACACGCTTCATGGGGAGCGAGCTGGCGTGTGTCGCTGGGAGCCTGATTACCTAAAGGCGACGTGGGAGCTCGACGGGATTACTACGCCGGCCTCTCGTCACTTGCAGCTTCGCCCTTCCGTCCAGCGACCGGCTCAGCACTTCGTTCAACACAAGACGCCTCCAAACCCATCGTCATCATCCCATCCCCTTCACACCTGCGACCTCTGCGGGAGATCGCTTCTCTCGTATTATCCCCGAACCGCACTCAAGCAACACAGTCTTGCGCATTCGAGTACTGAGTCGCGATAATGGTATGCAAACCACCGGAGCCCTGCAGTGACTGCACCATGCGCAACGTTTGCTGACTATCTCGTCAAAACAGGGTCAGAATCAGTCTGGAATGGGCGGTGGCCAGGATGGCCGTGATGAGAGGGATAAGAAGGTTTGTTGCTTCCCCCGTGTACTGCTTTGTTGCAACGCCTGCTGCGTCAACTCCTGGTGGTAATCAGGTCCTACTTACTGCTGCATCAAGTACCCCAGCTTTGCTAACCTCACGCCCTTTCATCCAGAAGGATAAGCCCAAGTACGAGCCTCCGCCAAAGCCAACCACCCGCGTCGGTCGCAAGAAGAGAAAGCAGGCGGGCACCAGTGCCGCTGCGAAGCTCCCCGCCATCTACCCATCTCAACGATGCAAACTCCGTCTCCTGCGTATGCAGCGCGTCCACGACCACCTACTGCTTGAGGAGGAATACGTCGAAAACCAGGAGCGCCTGAGGAAGGCCAAGGCTGCGAAAGATAGCAACGCCCCACCTGCTGCCGATGACGCTGCCGACCGCAATGCCGACGAGCGTGGCCGCGTTGACGACATGCGAGGAAGCCCCATGGGTGTCGGGACACTGGAAGAGATGATCGATGATGACCACGCCATCGTGTCCAGTACCACTGGCCCCGAGTACTACGTGAGCATCATGAGCTTCGTCGACAAGGATCTGCTCGAGCCCGGCGCCAGTGTTCTCCTTCATCACAAGACCGTCAGCATTGTCGGTGTTCTGACCGATGACACCGACCCGGCGGTTAGCGTGATGAAGCTCGACAAGGCCCCTACGGAGTCGTACGCGGATATCGGTGGTCTGGAGCAACAGATTCAAGAAGTCCGCGAGTCGGTCGAGTTGCCCCTGCTGCATCCCGAGCTGTACGAGGAGATGGGTATCAAGCCGCCCAAGGGTGTCATTCTATACGGTGCCCCAGGTACTGGAAAGACGCTTTTGGCCAAGGCCGTGGCAAACCAGACCTCGGCGACTTTCCTGCGTATTGTTGGCTCCGAGTTGATTCAGAAGTATCTGGGTGATGGTCCGCGGTTGGTTCGACAACTTTTCCAGGTCAGTACAATGCGAACAATGCATAGTCTTCCCCAATATGATTGTTGTGTCACATGTTAACATGACCTTGGCGTACAGGTCGCTGGAGAAAACGCACCTTCGATCGTGTTCATCGACGAGATTGACGCCATCGGAACGAAGCGTTACGAATCCACATCGGGCGGCGAGCGAGAAGTGCAGCGAACCATGCTTGAGCTTCTCAACCAGCTCGACGGTTTCGATGACCGCGGCGATGTCAAGGTCATCATGGCAACCAACAAGATCGAGACCCTGGACCCAGCCCTGATCCGACCCGGCCGAATTGACCGAAAGATTCTCTTCGAGCCTCCAGACCAGAACACCAAGCGCAAGATCTTCCACCTACACACGTCCAAGATGAGCCTTAACGAGGACGTGGACCTGGAGGAATTCATTGCGCAGAAGGACGACCTCTCCGGTGCCGACATCAAGGCCATTTGCTCAGAGGCTGGTCTGTTGGCCCTGCGGGAGCGGCGTATGCGTGTGCAGATGTCCGACTTCCGTCCTGCCCGCGAACGAGTGCTCCGAACGAAGCAGGAGGGTGAGCCGGAGGGTCTGTATCTGTAAGCCGAGGCACGTGTACTTTTACGATCAGGGGAAGGACGGAGGGTGCAGCTGCGAATGTGGTTCACGGCGTGAGACGAGTGGGATAGATGAATAGATGGCATCGACCATGGATACGATGTACATGTCAAGAGATCCCTTGTGCCGTTGCGTCTTGTGGAGGTCGTGTAAATGGGCAGAAACTGGCCAAGTGGCTTGCCTGATGTCCCGATCCTCGGTTGTCAATGACATGAGGACAAGGCAGTCTCATATCCAAACACCGTATGCTCACATCAGTTATGTCGACCCTCCCCTGTCCGGAAATACAGTTTCCAGATGGCGCACAAAAGCCCTCATTATACCATCACGCTTCACTGACTCGATCTAGGCCGCAAGCCTTCACCGTCCACGACGCAGCTCTGGAATCGAGTCCAAAGAAGAGGGCCCACTCTCACGACAGAGGGCCCAAAGCTTTGCTTACTTCCTTCTGATGGCAGACCAGGTCTTCTCTGGGCGTCATCCACCCAGCTTGGTGTAGAAATGCCAGCTCAGTTCCCAGACGGCTTTCTTGGGAATTCTCAACCCCCCGGCCTCACATGTATCCGTCTTCGTGGCTTAGTTGGTTAAAGCGTCGGTCTCATAGAATTGACTCGCTGGGTAACCAGTGAGATATCCGAAGGTCGTGAGTTCAAGGTAGGAGGTCATCTGTATGAAGCCGTGTGAGAACCGTGATTGACAATGTTGTATAGTCTCACCGAGGACACATGTACGAGGTTCTTTTTTCATTTTTCCCCTTATTTTTCTACGGGAAGACATTCTGTTTAATGTATGCATCGTCCTGATATGTCTGGATATGTAGTCGGAATGAATTGGTAATTCTGCTTTGAACAAGCTTCTCAACGGCATTCTATTTCTAGAATCATTGTTAATGAATACGGAGATTCGCACCTGCAAAAACGGAGGGTACACCGGTACACCACTCGGGCCCATGACAAGCTACAGCAAATTAGAGCGCATCACCCAGGCCGATTTACACACCCCCACCCAGCACCCACACACCTAGGTGTGTAAGCTGTTGTGGGTGTTGGATGTGTGAATTCTGACGTGGTTTAGTGTTGGCGATGTACCGGTGTACCGTCCGTTTTTGCAGGTGCGAATCTCCTGAATTCTTTGGAACAATTCGTGAGGGTGAGTGCGACACAGGATCGTCTTGATAGAAGGATGCTCTTTTCGTTGCCAGAACGCCCGGTTCTTGATTCTCCTGCGCTACGGCAAATATTGCCCAGATATGGAGAAGACTCAGGCGTACTTTTTGATCCTCCCCTACTACGGTAGATGGCCCCACTAGTTGAAGCCGGGGCGTTCGAGAACGATTCCTCACTGATTGGTCCGAAACGAAGCATCGGTGTCCTCATATCTCGGTCTCAGTTCGTGTCCGGCACCCTTATCAGTCACAAGCCTGTAGGACTGACCAGCCGTTGACAAGACCGCTGGCTCTGGCGCATGTGGGGTTTGCTTCTATGGCCAATACCTGCCAAATCCTGTGTGGTGGGCTGGGCAATCAGACATGTGTGGCGGCATTGCGGCTGGCGAAGAGAGAGAGAAAGGGAGAGGCCGAGTAGTCTGCAGTCTAAGCTCTAGGGCTGTAAATACTCGTCGGAGTGACCTGTGTCTGGAGTGTCGACTGGATACCATGTTCACATATGATCTATCACGGAAGCACTATTGGGAGTTGTCTCAAGCGCTTTTATGTTCACTAAAGGGATGTGCTTGCCATCTGCTCATGAATACACACTATGGAAAGGCTTAGGCGTAGTATTCTATCTCATGTCTATAAGTATTGCAGAGTGTTGGCAGATTAGTTGTCTATAGATACAACTACCAAGCCCACCGACCCATCAATCCCGTGGGCGACTTCCGCACAAAGAACTTGCGCCCCTCGTCCATCAGGAGGATACCCAGCCCGAAAGTCATGGGCAGGAACCAGTACTCGACCGGGACCGCGGCCGTGGACAGCACCTCCTGCAACCGCGGTATGTAGAGCCAGAAGAAGGCCATGACCAGGGCGAACAGGATGGCGGGGAAGAGCCACACGTTCTGCGTCTTCCTGTTGAAGAGCGGCGGGTGCTGGAAGATGGACAGCCGGCGCGTGCGGACCGACATGAGGTTGAACCACTGCATGACGACGAGGGTGATGAAGTAGATGGAGCTGGCGACGTTGAGCTTGCTCGCGTAGTAGTCCGCGTCGATGCCCTCCGGGTCGCCGAAGCCGAACCACAGGCGCGAGAAGGGGATGCCGCTGCGCTCGAGGTACCAGTAGCTCATGGCGAAGGAGCACGCCGTCTCGACGATGCCGACGAAGCCGTACGACTGCACGATGAGCTTCCAGTCGACGAGGCGGTCCACGCCGACGACGCGGGGCGGCCGCAGCAGCACGTCGGCCTCGGGCTTCTCGTACGCCAGCGAGGTGGCGGCCAGGCAGTCGGTGAAGCAGCAGATGACGATCATGAGGAAGCTGCTGAGGACCTGCGGCAGGCCGAAGGCGACGTTGGTGAAGACGGGCCAGAACTCGGAGAAGCTGCCCGCGGGCAAGAGGTACGCGATGGTCTTCTTGAGGTTGTCGAACATCATGCGGCCGTAGCGCACGGCCTCCACCACGCTGCTGAAGCTCTCCAGCAGCACCATGTCGGCCGCCTCCACCGCGATGTCTGATCCAGACCCGACCGCGATTCCCACGTCCGCCGCCCGCAGCGCCGGCGCGTCGTTGACGCCGTCTCCCGTCATGCCCACCACGAGGCCCCGCGATTGCAGCTCCCTCACGATGCGTAGCTTCTGTTCCGGTGTCGTGCGCGCGAAGACGACTTCCGTGTACGACTTGATCAGCTCGTCCCACTGCGACTCGTTCATCGCCATGAGGTCTGAGCCAGCCACGACGATGGACGTCGGCCGCGGCTGGTCCTCGAACCGGACCGTCTTGGTGGCCTGGCCTTCCCCACCGTTGAGGTCGGAAGAGTGCGCCAGGGGGCTGCGGCTGAGGTCATCGGCGGCCTTGACCGACCCTGGCTCGTTGGTGATGATGCCGCACTCGGCCGCGATTGCCTGGGCCGTCAGGGCAAAGTCGCCAGTCACCATGAAGATGCGTATGCCCGCACCACGCAGGGTTTGGACCACACCCGGGATCTCGGGCCTCGGCGGGTCCTGGATCGCCACGAGGCCGACGAGCGTGAGGCCCGCCTTGGCCTGGCCTGCCATCTCCTTCTCGAATGCTGATGACAGCGGGGAGGATTTTAACGAGGACCGGGAGAGCGTTTTGTGCGCGAGGAGGAGCACGCGGCGGCCCCGTGCTGAGTATTCCGCCTGTGCCTCCTCGATCTTGGCTTTAGCTGCCTCTGTCATGAGGTGGGACGCCCCGGTTCTTCCGATGTAGTATTTACACCTATCAAGGAGTCGATCAGGAGCACCTTTGATTGTGAGCAACCTATGTAATATCAACGTCAGTCGTGCACACACACAATCTGTGAGCAGTGATGCGCTTACAGGTCACTAGGCTCAAACACTGAAGCCACGTCAAGTGGCATTGCATCGATCTTTCCGTCGGGATGCTGCACAATTGCGTTAATATATTCGCTGTGTTGAGGTGGCTGACTGAGGATTTAGAGGTCCCTTCCGAGACCCTGCTATGACTGTCGGAGTGAAAAGAGACTCCATGACAGATGGGACGGGAATAATACTTACAGCCATGCTAAGAACCCTGATCATAAACTTGTTCTTGCTGTTGAAGGCCAAGTCGAACTTGGTGTGCCAACATCTCTTCATCTCAGAGATGGGTCCAAGAGACTCGGAGAACCGGAGAATGGCAGTGTCGGTGGCGTCTCCATGTATCTTCCGCTCGTTCAAAGGCAGCTTTCTTGTCTGTGCATCGAAGACGGCGGCGTTGCAGAGACCGCCTATTGTCCTCAGTTGGTCGATCGCATTGCCTGCAAAGTTGCCGTCTATGTTTCGCTCTGCGATGAGGGTATCTCTGACGTTGTCAGCCGACATCTTCTCGAGGCCCACATAACAATCTGTGACGACCATCTTGTTCTGTTTGAAGTCAAGTCTGTTAGTTGCATTCTTCAACACGAGATGAAGGACGTCAAGACATACCGCAGTGAGTGTTCCAGTCTTGTCAGAACAGATGACGCTCACAGCGCCCAGGGTCTCGACCGTCTTGAGCGATTTGCACAAGATCTTGTTCTTCCGCATCATGTTTGCGCTTATCGTTAAGCTGGCCGTCAATGCAACAGGCAATCCTTGAGAACATCAAAGTCGGCAACCAAAAAAGACGGGAGTCCTCGAGTGCAGAGAGTGTTCTCACCTTCGGGAATGAACGCGACAGCCACTGATACACAGTCCACAATAAGTGTAGGCACATTGATCCAATCAGGATAAGTCGTTCGTAACCAAGCAGCCCTTGAAGAAAACAGTCAGCCAGGGTCCAGCCAACAAACCGGGATAACAGAACCTACCAGAGAACAATCACGATAATGATCATGAGCAGCATTATAGAGCAGATGATCCAAACAAAGCTCAAGATCTCCTTCTCGAGAGTCGACAGCCCAACCTTGGGCTCATTCGTGAGCTTCGCAATCTTTCCGAATACGGTCTTGTTCCCCGTCGACACAACAACCCCAGTGCAGCTACCGGAAACACAATGCGTTCCCTGAAGGCCGATGTTTTTTGTCTCAAGGTAGTTGGGGTCCGTCGAGTCGACGGTGGCAGCCAATGGCACGGATTCACCTAAAAGCGCGAGAGTCAGTCGAAAACAACTCTTCTTTTTTGTCTTTCAAGTTTGTCCACTTCTGCAAGGCACAACTTACCCGTGAGGATGGAGCGATCGAATTTAGTATCCGAAGAGACCTTGATGAACCTAATATCCGCAGGCAACTTGTTCCCGGCGCCGACAAGCAGAACATCGCCGGGGACGAGCTCGGACGCGGGCAGGGCAACCTGGGCGCCGTCGCGCAGGGCGCGGCACTCGTCGGGCAGCATGGTCTTGATGCTGGCCATGACGCGGCTGGAGCTCCAGTCCTGCCACATGTTGAAGCCGGCCTGGATGAAGAAGACGGCGAGCAAGACAATGGCGAGCGCCAGGTTGGCCTGCGCGGGCGGGTCGCCCAGGGGCTTCCACGCGATGAAGACGAGTATCGACGCCACCAGGAGCACCGACCCGAAGCCCTTGAAGAAGTAGCCCGTGATGGTCTTGAGCCGGTGCGTCTGTGGAGGGGAGGGGGCGTTCCTGCCGTATTTTGAGAGGCGCCGCTTGACCTGTTCTTCTGAGAGGCCGTGTCTATCGGAGACATTTAGGCGCTGGGTGAGCTCGTGAGTGGGTATTGTGTGCCAGTCCAGGTCGGCGAGGTCTGTAAAGTGTGAAAGGAATATCAGCAAATCATTTTCCGAATTGAATTCCGACTCCCACATGTCCCAGGAGGGCGCAAATAACATTATTCTCACCACCCTGTATTATGAGAAGAAGAAGAAGAAGAAGAAGAAGAAGAAGAAGAAGAAAAAACTTACCCTCAACAGCAGCATTATTCTTATCTTTCGCCTTCGCGTCCTCGAGATCAATTGATCTGTATAGTCAAAAAGTCAGCTTCGCCACAAGATAGAGCGAAGCAGACATAAGAGACAGAACAGATTGCTCTCGGCTGTCCTCCAACAACGGCTTACAAGGTTCGGTATTGAATAGGCAAAACTGCAGTCGGCTCCCGCCTGCTCGAGGGACGGATCGACATGGAGTCCTCCGAGAGGGCAGTTGACGAGCGGGCCAGCTGGGGCCGCCTGCTGGCTGCCATCGAGGCGCGGCGGCCGTGGTGGCGACCGCCGGCAGCCTCCTCCTCGTCTTTGAAGCGGAGGCGCTCCGTCGTGGCCGTCTCGGCCTCGTCGGTCTCCGCCATGGTGAGGTATGTTTTGTAACTCTGAGCGACGGGGGAGGACATGAGGAGCAGGAGGAGGAGGAAGGAGGAAGGAGGGTGCAGAAGGTGTAAGTGACACTGTGGCAGGTCGATGGGAACTCTACGGGAGCCGGGCGAGGGCTTTATACTCGAGGTAAGAGGAGGAGAAGGCTACTCATGTCACGACAAGGAGGCTTGGGGGTGCCCGCATGTGAGAACGCAAGGCAAGGCAAGGCGAGGCAGATGGCCAGGAAAAGGTATGCAAGCTGCGGATGGAGTAATCATTAGCCAACAAAGAAACAAAATTACGCGCAGTGCTGCTGCTCCCCCCGACTCTCGCTCCTGCGTGACGATGGTGCTGAAAAAAGGCTTTCCGGCCTGAGATACTCAAACGGGCTAGCTATGTGGCTATCTCTCGTGCGGGCTACCTGACCGTTTCTCCCTCGTCCGTGTTTCGACCATCTTCTGGATCCTGTGATACTTCAGGTTGGCGCCAGCAAGGGGAAATTGGCGCATTCACCACCGCCCGCGGTGGAGACTGGAAACAGTATGCAAGTCCATCATCACATGTGTAGCACGAGTAGCGGCAATCCAAGTGACTGGCGCGGAAACCAACTTGATACTCGGGGGGGGGGGGCATTCACATTCATCTGCAAAGGACACTGGCACGTGTGCTGGATTTGACTCGGGCTTACAATGCTACCGTGCCATAGGCGTGGCATCTCTGCTGTGCATTGATACTATGCTGATCTGGGGAAAGGGCAGACGGCCCAGATAGGCATTCCGGCGTCTAAGTTCGGGGAGCAGCAGCGCGCGGGAGGCCGCCTGCCCAGGCCAGAGGGGAGTATTGCTGTGGCGATGCAAGCGAAGACAAGACAAAACAAAGCACTATATGGGGGGAACTTTCTCACGGCAGGGCGTGGGAGTTGGAGGAGGAGGAGCGCCGCCAAGAAACAGGCAGGCAAAGGCTGCGACTGGGGATCATCGAGGCCGTTGGAGCAGAGACGAGCAGGGTCACGCGAAGGGGAGCTAGGGAGGGTGGGATGTTGGGGAGTGTTGGAGATAGTCTTGAGTCTCGCTGGGGAATTCCGCACTGTTGCTTGAAAATGCCGCATAGAAAGAGCAGATTTGGAGTCGGGATCCAAGGAAGCCTTGAAATGGGCTCTCTGGTCCGCTTATGGTAGAGGAATAACAAGCGGTCAGAAATCGCGCATAGCAGAAGATAAGGAGGCCAGGGTTGGGACTGATATCTGGATTCCTGGGGTTGACAAAGGGGGGGGGGGAAGCCGGCCTCTTGACTGACTTACACAGCCTCACTGCCTCACCAGGCTAGCCCTCTCCAATCCAACCACCTACTACCTAGCACTCTGCACTTTTATGAGAACCATGAAACGTGAGACGTGACTAGCAAAGATTTCTTGGCCGGCTCGCTAATGGTTTTTTTTTTTGTTTTTCTGACATCATTTCCACGATTCGCGCCGTCCACTCGGAACCGCACCATATCGTGCAGACACACCCCCACACACACTCTTTGCCCGCACATGCAGCTGCACTGGCCCTGCCCGTCATCCGTCCCCCACCCACACCAGCTCGAGCTCCGAGCATATTCAATGGAGCCGCGCGGGACAAGCTCGAAGCTGCTGCACTGCAAGCAAGGCCATGATGCTTATCCGGAATCTGGCGCGGGAACCACCAACAATTCAGGATGGCTGGCGCGCAGACCTGTCCCGGCTTCTCGCCTGAGCTCATCTCTCCCCCTTCCGCTCCCCTCCCGGACCTTGACCAGGGCTTGGCCAACGGGAATTACGGACGGGTGGATGGCTGTGGTCTTACACACCGTCATGGCTGCTGTCCTGCTGTGCTGCTGCCATGTCAGTCAGTCAGTCAGTCACAGTGCAGCTTGCATGAGGCTGTCCCTGTTGCCTCCTCATCTCACCCCCCTTTGCTGCCTCCATCACGGCTTTCCCAGAACGGACTCGAGCCAGAGGCCTCCTCGCGTCCCACCTCCACCTCCATCTCCCACCTCCCGATGCCTGGGTGTGGACCAGAGATCCTTCAATCTCATCACAGACTGCACATCCATCTCACCGTCACTTGCGGAGATTGCTGCATGAGCAGGTAGCACACGGGCCCTGTCTCTCTTCCTCCCTCTCCCTGACCACCCACCCGAGTCCGGCCTACAGACCAAGAGAACACAAAGCCGCGCAACCCAGAAAGAGAAAATAACAGCCGTACCAGTAGAGGTGAGACCAGTGGACCCGCAGGCATAGCCATCCCGTCTCTCAGTAGTAAGTTGAATAGAGGAAAGACTTGGCAGCATCGCCTCCATATCCCCATCCTCCTACCCCCAGACGCCGCTCCCCGAGGCACAGCCGGCCAACGCACATTTCCTTGGCGGAACCAGCCGGCCGCATGCACATGCTCCCCGCAGAGTCAGAGAGGACCCTGCCTGCATCGTCTTATCGGCGTGTGGTCCAGCTGCATATCCCACAGCACGAACACAGACGTGGCACCCCCCTTCCTCTTCCCCCAACTCACATGCGGTCCAGTTCACGCGGGGGGGGGGGGCGCGTGGAGGTATGAGCGAGATGCAGCAAGATGTCGCGAGGACCCCTGTACGGCTCCCTATCGTGTTGGGGGCAAAGCTGGAAGTGGTTGCACAGCATTACCTCTTCCCTCCTCCCCATCACCTCTCTCCCCGTTCGGGAACCAGCGGCGATCACTGTGAGATATGGATCATCAGCCCGGATGGAAGGCGTCCAAGAGCATCAACGGGAGACGCTCTCCCTCCTACACACTCCCCAGCTCACGTCCTGCATCCCACGGAGACACAGCATGACCCCAGCCAGCCAGCCACCACGTTCCGGACCCGACAATGGTCATTGCCCTCTCCTCCACCAGCTATAACGCACCGAAGCCGGTACGAAAAGGAACTGATGGATCTAGGGTGAGCTTCTTCCTCTCCCCCAAAGGAGTGAGAAGAGGGGCCGGCCACTCGGCCGTTGCCCTGAGCCGCGTGGCAGAAGATGCGAGGCCTATGCAGGCGAATGCCGCCGTGAGCCTCGCCATCGTCAACAACACACCACTCAGTCACAGGTGAAGAGAAGTGGTCAGGCCAGGCCAGGCCAGCCAGATCGCTTACTCAGACAGGGAGCACATGCAATTCTTCTAATGGTATCTTTCTTTCTCTGTTCTTTCGCTCGACTGTTCACCAGACAGGCAGGCAAACAGACCAAAATGACAATAAGTGCGGGCTGTCCTTGGCCCCCTGGCCTCCTGGTACCCATCCTCTTCTCCCCTTTCTTTTTACCGTGTTGGCTGGTCAGTCAGGCCGGACTAGCCCGCCTTTCCATCCACAAATTCCTTTTCCCTTCCGGCCCGCTCAGTCCTAGGAAGGAAAAGACGAAGAAAGTCCATATTTCCTTACCACCGTCCAAAATCGAGAAAGAACAAAACCGCGCTGTTGAGGACAATACCAAAAGGGGAAGACCAATCTCTGCCAATTTCCGAATCCGCCATGACCAATGTTGATGCAAGGTGACTGAAATAACAAAACTAATAATTGGGCAGGCAGGCATGCATGCATGCAGGCGAGCCTGTGAGTGCCAAAGAAAGGGGGAAATGGGCCAAAGCCGAACAGAATGGAAACCTAAACACCTTTGCTTTGCTTAACGACCAAAAGTCAACCGGCCCGCCATCGATGCTGCGTCTTTCCGTCACGGGGGCAAAACCAAGCTGTCGACGAGGCTCTCAAGGTCCGTCCGTCCGCGCTCCTGCGCATTCCCTCGCACTACCAGTGTCCCAGTCTATGATGATGCATTTGCTGCTCTGTGCGAATGTTGAAGAATTCAATTTGCCGTCTTTCCACACAATGGCGAGCCGCCCACCAGGCGAGCCGCACACTCGCCTCTTTTTCACACACAAATTTGGGGTATCATAATCGCAGTCATTCCTGTCCTCCGGCCAGGACCAGGGCTAATCTCGCTCATTGGGTCTTCCTGTGAACATAATTACCCATCCGCCGGCAGGATACGGCTTACCCTATCCTGCAGAGAGAGAGTATTTTTTTCGAGTTATCGCTTCAGACCCTCCTCATGAGGCTGAGCGACTATTGCTTCGAACGGCAAGTAGCTGGCCCAGCAAGCAGTCCAAAGGGACCGCCGAGGTTGGTCGTCGAGATTGATATCCGGCATGGGGCAGGAGAAGTTGTTATGGGGCAGCAGGGCTGCTCCGACTTGATCCGCCACCGTTATCACTGCCGTCCGTCTGGTCTCTTAGATGTGCAGCACCCGAGGGGCCATCTAGTCGAAGCGGAGCAGTGCTGGCGCTCGGCCGTGCAGGGCTCATGTCCATAGCATCAGTCACATCTGGGCTTTGGAAGCCAGGGGCTTGACCCCCTGGACCTGCTGCCGGTTGAGTGCCGTTCGCATGTGACACTCCTGGTGCCCAAGGTTGATTGTGTGGTGGCCACATCATCGACGGCACCTGAGATGGTGCTGGGGGAGGGGGCGGTATTATGCTGGCGTCCAAACTTGCACCGGCAACACCGGTATTCGGCCCAACCAGAGGTGCTGCGTCGATGACCATCTCAGTTCCATCATCGAGTCCGTCGTCGTCGTCAACCACGTCCCCTTCTTGCTCGTCGAAGCCTGCATCGGGGTGGGCATGCCCTGGATGTGCATAAGATGCGTAGTTGGCTGGGACTTGAGCATGGCGTGGGAATCCCGTCGGTGTCCCGTCGCGGAGGTGAGCGAATGCCGAGTCGGTATTGAGGTGGCGGCGTAGATTGGACACGCCTTGGCCAGAGAAGACGCAAAACACATTCCGCTGGTGGTCTGTGAACTCTGCAAGGGACACAGTTAGTCAGCGAATCGCGCAGATGCAACGTCAAATGCAGAATGGTACAAAAGCTTACCAGGTGGCGCGTCGCGACAGAACTGTTCGAGATCCTGCCTAAGGAAAGCCTGTACGCCCGTGAGACTGAGATGTGTCAACCTAGGGCAGGAGTTGAGAAGCTTGATAATGCTCTGTGTCGTGGTTAGTATTAGACCTGATCGCACGAACCTCGATTTTGGGTTTTTACCTTGAGCGTGAGCTGCGTGCAGTAGCTAAGGTGCACTCGTTCAAGACTGCTGCCGCTCGAGTAAGGTTCTCCTATGTTCCTTCCATCTGCGTCCCTACGTTGGCGGAGTCTTTGGTTGGCCTTAGCAAGCGCATAGACCGACACATCGGTGATGTTACTGCATTTGACGAGGCCAATCCTCTTGAGCTTCGGAAGAACAGCCAGTCTGGTGACGGATTCATCCGTCAGATTCAGGCAGCAGCCCAGGTCAATGTACCGTATACGGTTGCAGAAGTGGACCAGACGCTTGACGGCTTCGTCGGTCAGGTTCACGCAGTGACCTAGGTGGACGTAATGCAGGTTCTTGCCGAGCTTTGAGATAGAGAAGACAGCTTGGTCGGTAATGTTGCGGCACTTTGCAAGGACAAGATTCCGAAGACGAGGAGCGGCAGTGACGATCTTCTCGACAGCATGGTCGGTGACCCTGGCGCAGGAGGTAAGGTCGAGGATTCGGAGGTGGTCAAAGACCATTCCCGGGGGAAGAGAGAGAAAGGCGCTGTCGTCCACGAGCTCACACATTGCCAGCCGGAGCTCTCGAAGGGAATTTCCCTTTGCGAGGAGGTTGGTAACAGGGGCGTTGCCAACCAGCTTGCACTGGTGCAGGTCAATCTCGAGGATGTTGGGGCAGTGCTCGGCGAAGGCAAGGACGGCCTCGTCAGACATCTGGCTGCAGTCGTTCAGTTTGAGCTGTGACGTTCGTGTTAGCACTGGTCAGCCAGGGCATTGGGCGGAGGCTGGACATACCCGCTTGAGATACCTGCAGTTCTGGGCGAGGAGGACCAGGGACTCGTTGGAGATTTTTGTGCAATTGGAGATGTTAAGACCCTGCAGGCGCTTGCAGTGCTCGGCAATGACCTTGATGGACTCCTCGGTGATCTCCTCGTCGCCCGAGATGTCCAGGGCCATGAGGTGGGAGCTGTTCGTTACGAGCGGGATCAGGCCGCCGTCGGTCAGGCCCTTGCAGTTGGTGAGGGTCAGCCTCTCGACGCGGTTGCAGACAGCCAGGGCCATGACGCTGCCGTCATTAACTCCATCGGCGAGCGAAGCCAGGTTGAGGCGTTTGATGAAATCGGCATATGCGTAGTACGGCTGGGGGAGGCTGAGAGTGCTGCAGATCAGACCGTGCTTGGGCCACGAGGTGCAAGCCGGGCGGTGCCATAGCAGGTCGACGGCATTCCTGGACCAGCGCTTGCATGTGAGCATGACATGACGCAGGTCTGTGGCAGCAGACAGCTTTGCGAATATCTGGATGAGTATCTCGTTGGGCAGGCGCTGCACGGGGGTGAGGCACTCGTATTCATCGGTGACCTGCATGTCCTGCAGGTTGGGGACACCGAGGGAAGACTCGGAGTCGTTGCCGTTGTGGTAGAAATCCGATTCCTCGTACTCGGCCGGCTGAGGGGAGCTCGCGGAGGAAGTCGATCGTGAGTCCTGGTTCTCCTCGACCTCCAGGGAGGCGGGCACGGGGGTGCCATTGCCACTTGCTTCAGCAGCCTCGGCCTGCGCTATCGCGTCGAGCGAAGGCGCTTGTTGACTCGACATGGCGTGTTGAGGGCGAGTGTGTGTTCTGATGCGTCAGAACATCCGCGGCGGATGGGAGGACTCGGTGGGCTTTCGCGGTTGTCCTCGAGGACGATCAGACTCGGGTTCGGTCAGACAGTCGGAGTCGGTGGCGCGGAGGCTTGTGTGTTTGTGTGCGTGGGAGGGTGGGCGTGGATGTAATGTGATGGTCGTGCTGGTGCGGGTGCGGGTGCGACGAGATGCGACGACGGATGGATGCGCTACTGTTAAGAGAGTATAAATTGCTGTGCCCACAGGACGATGCCCTCGGCCGGTGGACGTAATTGCCAAATGGGTTGGATGGGCCCGGGGAGCGAGAGGCCTGGTTGGGCTGGACTTGGGCGGGTCGAGATGACAGTGACAGTGCGGTGTGGTGAGGGTCGAGGCGGGGGCAGGGCGGATTGGGATGACGGGGTTTGTGGTAGGTGGATGGCGGATGGAGGCGGAGATGGAGATGAAAATGGATCTGCTGGGCTCCAAGTTGGGCACAGGTTAGGCAGGCTGTTCCAAGAGGGGTGTGGACTACCTTATGGCACACAGCACATAGCAACAGAGCACGTAGGCGCTGTAGGGGAAGGAGACAGGCTAGGTAGGTACCTACCTAGGTACTTTAAGAAGCTGACGCCGGTGCTGACGGACCTTGGTTGTCGTGGATGTTTTTGCCCCCTCCTCCTTCAACGATGGAGCACGCCGCGACTGGCCGATGAAACAGCCCTCAGGATTACTGGACAAAGAAGTGTCATGGGCCGTATTTAAAGACGACGAGCAGGCTGCATGTCGGCCGAGTCAATGTGGCATTCAAACAGTTCGGGCGAGGTTGACCATGGAAGTCCCTGGGACTCGGGATGCGAAGGCTGAAGGGTGACGGTGTAGTCGGGCCAAGCCAACTCCAGTGCCGAGTGCAGGCGCAGGTGCAGGCGCAAGTGCAGGCGCGGATGGGCTGGATGTAGATATTTGGGTTGAATTGGGGCCTGGTGCTGTCTTTGGAGGGGGGGTCTGGGTGTGTCTGAGGAACGGACGAAGAGGGAAGGCGGGTCTGACGGGGGATGATGATCGGCTGGGATGACAAAGGCAAGAGCAGACAGAAGCCGGCAGACGGAGACAGCCCAGAACTTGAAAAGGTGCTAGAATATTATCACCGAGTCTGTCAGGCGGGTATTCTACTTGTTGATACTCCCGTGCCACCTAGATTATTAAGGGGCCTGTGGTGCTGCACTGCACTGACGTAAGGTGCAGAAGATGCCTATATAAGGATACCTACTTGCCTACTTAGGTAGAGCTGGGTAGTAATCAATCAGTCTGGTAAACCGAAGCGAGAGAAACAGAGAGAGAGAACGAGCCGTGAACGAGCCGTGAACGAGGCTGGCTGCTGCTGGGGGGTTGCCGAGACCAGGCGGGTCGATCCGTGACTGACGAGCGCGCAACGACTTGGGCCAACCCTGCTGCGGTCCAGATTTCGACACCCTGATCGTGTGCTTGCTTGCTTGCCCACACGGAGCGGACGGCGCCTGAACGGACTGACTATAGGCGCCCGCCAATTAATAGTAGCAACCTTGGCTTGGAGATGCTTCTTTCGCCAGCCTACTGCACGACTAGGCCACGATGCTACTGTGCCTTGCTTGTCTCGGTCGCTGTCGTTGTCGCTGTCTCTGTGCCGGTTGCTTAAGCAACAGCGCTCTCATAGGTGCGTCTGCCAAAGTCCGGTCAAGCCTTTCTCTATCCTCTGCAGCCCAGAGACAGGAGTTTGCGGTATGGCATTTGTGGCCCCCAGCAACCCGGCAGCGCCCCAGTCCCGTTCTCCTTGCGGCGGCGGCGTCTCACAATGCGGGTCGCCACTTTGGAGCCCACCCCCCTTGAAGCAACAGTCCGGATCAGGGGCCACAGCCAAAGCCAAAACGAAAGCGGCGGCATGAACGACGTGACACAAGCACACGCATGGCAATTTGGGCTGTTTGGGCAATTTGCAGCGCATTTCTCGTCTACGTGATAGCTGTGGAGTAACTTCGTCTTAGGCGCTCCCCCTGACCCGTCGCCTTGGACCTCAATGGCTTAGTAGACAGAAAGGAAAAAGGGGTTCAGAAGCGACCGTTGTCACGGCACGCATTGCAAGCAATGCCTGCCTTTATAATTAGCTGCCCTTGTGCTCTTCTCTGCTCTATTTTGCGAAGGCAGTGTCTGGCCTGCATTGAGTAGGGGTTACATTCTGAGATGAACCTGTGCAGACAGCAAGAGCTTACCTGGACAACGGCAGCTGGATACATGATCAGCGCCGAGGCAGGCAAACTTGACAAGCAAGCAGATTGGTTCTCAAGGCTGGGCTGGTCTGGTCTGGCTGAGACCCGGCCGGCTGGATGCAGCCACGACCACAATAGAACAAACGGAGACAGCAGCAGGAACGCGGCCATCTGGTCGAGTCGGCCAACAGTTATGGCCGCTCATGCTCGACTGCCATCCGGGAATTCACTGCCGATGTTGCCGTCAATCAATCTTCAAATGCTGCTCACTCACGAGGTGGAACCGGGGCGGGGATCAGACCAGACCAGATAAACTTTCTCTTTGCTAGATTTCGAGTCCCTGTGCTCTGGCCTGCAATGTACTTGGCCCCCTCTATACGCAAACCAATGACGCAATTATGTAGATCTGCAGCATTGCGCAGCCCATGCATATGCGATAATGGGAGGGACATTCTTGCCATCCCGAGCTTCCATCTAGGTCAGCTAACCAAAGCACATTCGCGGCGAATGAGTACGGCCACATAACCGTCCGGGGCAACGAGTTTCCCTCACATTTGGGAATACATCAATTGGATTGCCAAGAACCTCGACCCCATCCGTTCCACCTTCCGAACCCGTCGAGACTTTCGGCCTCGGGGACACACCAATTAATCCACCCCGCGACAGGCAGCGTGCCAGAACCCTCATCCACATATGTCCAGTATGCTCCGCCAGTCTCTCTCGCGCGGCTTGGCCCGGCGGCCCCTCCTCACCTCGGGCAGCAGCGGAGCCATCTGCCCACGCTGCTCGCACACGATCCGCCGGGGCCTGATGGCCAGCTCACGCGAGAAGCCGTCGCGCCGCGCCGAGCTCGACACCCTCAACGTCAACCGCCTCGCCGCCAAGTACGCCGAGTACCACCGGACAAGGCAGCAGGCCCTCGCCGCGGGCGCGGTGGCCGGCGTCATATCCATCATCTACGTGAGCTGGAAGATCAGCCAGAAGCTGCGCGAGGAGGGCGGCGGTGGCGGGTCGACGCAGCTCGACTCGCCGTTGCCAGCCAGCGACCCCATCAACGACCCCACGCGCAAGGTGGTCAAGCACGACGAGAACGGCCGCGAGGTCGTCGCCACGGGAAACAGCTACGTCAAAGAGTTCCCCAGGACTGTGGAGCTCCCGGACTACGGGCGGCCGAGCTCGCAGCCGGAGGTGTCGAACGGGGTCACTGCGCCCACGCTGATCGTGCCGCCATCCGCGGCAGCCGGCACCGAGTACACACTGGTGGGGCTGGGCACGCGGTCCGTGTCGTTCCTGGGCATTAACGTCTACGTGCTGGGCTTCTACGTCGCGACGCAGGATATCGCGGACCTGCAGCAGCACCTGGTGCGCAGGATCAGCCCGATCGCGTCGACGCTCGTGGCCTCGGAGAAGGACGACCTGCGCGCCCGGCTGATGGACCCCGCTGAGGGCGAGCAGATCTGGGACGAGCTCCTCAGGTCCGGCATCCCGGCGCGGAGCATGGTGCGCGTGGTGCCCGTGCGCGACACCGACTTCCACCACCTGCGGGACGGGTTCGTGAGGGCGATCCAGGCGCACGAGGGTAAGGCCAAGGACGAGGAGTTTGGCGAGGCCATGAGGGAGTTCAAGCGCATCTTCAACAGGGGCAAGGTTCCTCAGAAGAAGGAGCTGCTGATGCTGCGCGACAAGGCAGGGAAGCTCACGCTGGTGTACGACGAGGGCAAGTCCAGCGGCAGGGAGCTGATCGGCACCGTGAGGGACGAGAGGATATCGCGGGCGCTTTGGATGAACTACCTCGGCGGTAAGAAGGTCGCGAGCGAGGAGGCGAAGACGAGTATCGTCAACGGGATCATGGAGTTTGTGGAGCGGCCCGTCGGTACTGTAGCCACCCAAGTATTGTGAACCACGAGTCTGGTGGTCACGATGCTGCACAATCCCACATCACATGCACATGCACATGGTTCACGGTGTACGTCCGCGCCGAGTCACGGTCAAAACAGCCCGGGGTCTGACAATCAGTCACATTGCACGTTCCGGAATCTCCCACGCGGGCAAGGATAGTAACCATCCTCTTGATCTTGTCCCTCGAGTGTACGCATCATCGAATCTATTCGCCCGAAAAGCCTTCCCACGAGGGGCATCGTGTAGTAATCACAGGTTCGCCCTCCTGTCCATCACAAAGGCTGTCAATCGCAGGTTGTTCCAGAAGAGCAATGATATTTCGCGTCTTGTCTCTATAACCCACGCAAACAACGAGAGTGAATAGCCCTTACGCAAGAGCGCCAACCTCCTGCAGCTTCGTCTTGAGGCCGGAGCCGAGCGCGTCCAGGTCCGAGTTGCCGCCGATGTGCTTCTTACCGAAGAAGATGTTGGGCACAGTGCGCTGGCCCGAGAGCTCCTCGAGGGCGTCCTGGATGGCGCTGCCGTCGCCTGTTACGTTTCAAAGATCGCCACCTGTCAGCCTTCATCTTCACTTCTCCTGACGTGTCTCACATCCTTCCCAAAAATTCCCGGGGAGATCACCACAAATCACCAAGGAGGGACGGGGAAAGAGCGGGGGCAAATGGTGGGTTGTACTGACTCTCCTCGTTCAGCTCGTACACCTTGAACTGGGCGCCGGCGCTCTGCAGGGTCTTCTTGCTGGCGCGGCAGTAGGGGCAGTAGCTCTTGGAGAACACCATGACGGCGTTCTCGTCGATGAGCGACTGGGCCTTGGTCTTTGCGGCTTCCATGCTGATTGGGGGTGATGAAAATCCGGAGAAGAATCTGCGAATAAAGGACATTTACTTGGGGAGGGGTTTTGTTTCGTGGTCGGGTGGGCCGTTGGGGTGGTTGAGCAAGGAGGGGTTCTGGAAGCTTTATAATGATGCAGGTACTTTGGGTATGCGGCGGGAAGAAGCTATGACACAGGTGAGGCAATGTGTAGTCGCAATGGGATCACCGTTTGTGGATTTGTCAACTCGACAGAACGGGTACATCCACTGCCGGCAGCTATCAGCCCTTCCAGTTCCCTCGGCTCTGTCAAGCCAGGCCTGGCTCCATTTTCGTGCTCGGCCCCACCGTAACATCTCAAATACCATACATGAAGATCCACATGGGTTGTCTTTGGTCGTTGCACTGTATTGTATTTAATGTCCGAAGAAAAGCAAGCAGCAGAGATCTTTCACCCCCTTCAAAACTTCCTAAATAATGCTCCCCTGCCCGCTGGCGAGCTTTCTGCCTGCATTTCTTCATTCTCAACGGTATTTACGGCGTCAACGCCCCATCACCCGTCAGATTTTATCCCCGGAGCGGATACCGGAAATGACGTAATTGCTATTACTCCAGCAGCGGCCTTGATTGAGGACATGTCTGTTCTCTCTACAAAGGCATTTATTAGACCTTGGGGATATCGCCTCGCGCCCAGTTTGATGAATAATCGATGGGTTGTTTCTAGTAACACTATTGCCATAGTGACTAAATATGCGCATACCAGAACCGCTCACAGATCGCCGTCAAGACTTACGTGCATGGGAACATGCGCTAATCCGGCACCACACCTCGCCTGCTGATCTCCCATGATCTTTCCTGCAGACGGCTAAACGTCCACAGCGCGCTTCTGCTGGGGACGACCAATGGGTTGGATTTTCAGGTCTGGACTGCTCTGGATACACCTTGTCCCCAGGCCGACGATCATGCTGCAGGCGCGCAGCTGGCCCCAGAAACTCGGGAGTCTGTCGCCAGTCGATTCGAGGTGAAGCAAGACATGGCATGTGGGTGTTTTTCAAGGAACCATGACGGTGTTGAGCTAGGTGTCGACCTTCAGTCATGGGAGCGTACCAGACGTAACCGCAATGACGCTGCTGCTTTAATATCCTCTTAGATATTCGTTGTCTCTGGCGGTCCATCAACACCCAAATATCCACACATCCACTGGCGGTACTGCTCCCCCCCCCCCTTGGGTCCCTTTGCAAAAAATCCTAACCCTACACTGGCCAGGCTTGCTCTGACCCCCTCCCTTTGGAGCCAAGAACCCGCAGCCTCATCCCATCCCGTTCTTTTTTTGACCGCCAGCTTCAAGGACTGACACCATTTTCGAGTGTTCGATTGCCGAATCAAGCATCCCGGATCAGCCCAGCAGACCTTGTCCTTGTGACCACAACCAAAAGTACTGCCCTCTGCAGTCAGTCGATTTCAGACACTGCGAAGTTTCTCCCAACATTGGCTTGCGGCCCAGCACGATCTTGCATCCTCGACGTGTCTAGTCCTGGCCACACGAACCGGGTCGCCGTTCTGCATTACGGCATCGACCCCACTTGGGCGCATCAACTTCGTTCGACACGGGCCTTGGGGCGCGAAATCAAGCACGCAGCCTCCATCTCACCATTCGCCGCCACTGTCAAGTAACACATCTCCAATCACTGCACCCAACCATCCTTTTCCCGGTTGAAATCTTTCGAGCGCATTTTTTTCGCGCCCAACCCCTTCCATTACCCCTTCTCCCGACGTCCGGTCAGTGTCCTTTTAAGGACCATCGTAACAGTTGCCCAAGGTGGCTTCCGGATCCTCCACCCTGGCATCCTCCGGTGCCGCCCAAATCGCCGGGCACATTGCAAATCTCACCTCCAGCCTGGTCAATCAACTGCCACCCTCTGTCCAGACCACCATCGACAGCGCCTCGCAGTACATCGAGTCAACCACAGGCGTCAACCCGACCGTCTTCTACAGCAGCGCCGCCGCCGCCGCCGTCTTACTAGGTGCGATACCCACTGTCTACGCAAAGTCCACCTCTTCAAGATCGGACAAGGACAGAGACGCAGGCGGGAAGAAAATGTCTCGGTATGGCTGGTCGTCTGGCCGTGACCGAGGTGGCCTCTCGCCCTTCAACTCGAGCTTGGGAAGAGATGGTGTGCCCGCGGTGACAGACGACGATTACAGCTACATCACGTCCGAGGACTTGGAGAACCACGGCGTGGAAGGAAGAGAGTATAAGAGAGAACCTGTGGATAGGAGCCGGCACTACACACGATCAACCGGTGGCCCCTCCCTGGTGATTGACGAGGACGACATTCTCCTCATCAAGAACAAGGGCATCACCTACCCGGAACACTTCCCCGCATATAGTATCGGCGACGGCAAGCTGCTTGTGGGCGACGTGCGGGAGCGGGCGCAGATGGTCATGAAGTTGTCAGATCGCAAGGCCCGCAAGATAAAGCTGCTGTACAAGGGGCGCCAGCTGAAGATCGACGACGAGCCAATATGCGAGTTCGGCGTCAAAAACAACAGCGAGATCCTCGTGGTCCTTCCCGACGGCGACGACGACTCGAGCACGGAGAGCAGCGAGGAAGTTGTCGTGGTGGGGTCCAAGGACGCGGAGGGTGGCCGGTCCAAGAAGTCCAAGAGCGGCAAGAAGAGGAGGAGCAAGAAGAAGGACAGGAGCAGCACCAGCCCCCGCGACAGCGGCGGCCTCGAAGTCCCTAGGAATGACGGCGCCGGCACGAGCAGGCCGCAGTCCCCGGCGTCAGGCGTCTCCGGTGGCAGCGCGGCCGCGGCGCCGGGCGGGCCAATCGACAAGCTCAACACCATAAAATCGCACTTCACCACCCAGCTGCTGCCGCTCTGCTTGCAGTACACCGCGAACCCGCCGTCGGACCCGAAGAAGAGCGAGGATGAGCACCGCAGGCTGTCGGAGACGGTCATGCAGCAGGTGTTGTTAAAGCTGGACGAGGTTGAGACGAACGGAGATGAGGACGCGCGGGCCAAGCGGAAGGAGCTCGTGCGGATGGTCCAGGACGTCCTCAAGGGGCTTGACGACGCCAAGGGATCCTGAGCGTGACCGGTTTGAAGCCAGAGCTCTGCCCTCCGTCAGGGCCGATAGAAGCAAGTCTTGGGGCTTATCGACTACTCTTCCTGGTTGGCAAACCGTCGGGCTTGCTAGACCTGGGTTGGACTGCATCAAGCATCTTGGTGATTGAATGGAAGTGGGTAGACTATGGATTTCACACGCTTGCTATTTTCATAGACTTGTTCGATGGCTGTTCAGTCTGGCACAGCAAACACCAAAACTCAACCTTCTTACAGCCATGATGAAGACCGATGGAGTCGGCGCTGGGAATACATCAAAGCATCATATGCAGGCGATCTGGCTGGTGTCGGAGAGTGGCCTTTGGTAGTCCCCTTTCCTTGCATCTCAACGTTGGCGCGTGTCATGAATAATTTGAAGACTGAGACTTTTGACTGGTGGATGGATTCCGGGAGGCAGCGACACAGCATAGCTTTGCTTTTCTTGGGCGGCGAGCAGGAAGAGACGATTTGTGGGCGGCCAGCGCCAATCCGCCTATCACCAGTGGAGCATGCTGAATCCGGGCATGATACGATGTGGAGGGAGTTGATAGATTCGCATGCATTATATTGGACTGTGAAAACGTGCACTGGATGCTCTTTGAGTGTGTTATCCATTTATCTATTGACTTCCCTCCCGTCGCTCGACCACTTCCTACTGTAACAAGGGCTCGTGGCGTTGGGTAGGTCTGTGGAGCAAAATGTGCCTGGACATATGCAAATGTGTACGAATATCCAAAGTCGCAACTCTGCAGTCAAATTTGCCATTTCATGCAAAGAATTAAATGACCACTATCGATTGCCATGCGGAATCAATCACAGTCAATCACCATTGTATTTTGACATGGAAGGGCATGTTGTATTGTACAGTTGCAGCCGTGGTCGTCGAAAAAAAGCGGGTTTCCAGACCGTGGCAGGCCAGTCCACTCCCGGCCCACCCCCCGGTCGCCCCTTCCCTCCCCAAATCACGTGTGTCGCGCCTGCCCTAGCCCGACGGGGCCTCCTGGCCAATAGCAACACCGGAACAGCGTCGAACCGACTGGGCGAAAAGTTGGTTGTGGTCGATTCCCAATTTTCGCCCTGCCGAACCTACAGCCAGAGTCCGGTACGAAAGCGTGTGTGTTGACCCATCCCAACCCATCCACACGAATACTAACTTCACAGGGCGACCCAACTGCCAGCTCAGATCTTCCCTGAGCAAACGTTGATTCCCTCGTCTCCCCTTCCACAGTTCCCTTCGTGACGACGTCGACACACATTCAAAATGTCCTCCTTCGAGCAGGTCGTGAGTACACTCCCTCCTCTCCCAGCTTTTTTTTTTTTTGTCCGAACGAGGCCCCGCCCCGTCACGACGTCGCCAACCGCCGCCTGGGACACGGAAAGAGGAAGGGATGATGGATACGATGGAACTGGTTGCAGGGCATCACGAGGCTGCCGCAAGCAAACGAGGTGGACTCTGGGGGCTGGAAGACACCGGATCAAGAGGAGGAACACACGACGATGCGACGAACCACCGAGAACTGGGCGGCGGGGACTGCCTCACGACGCACAAATCATCCCGACAGTCCGCGATACTGACTGCTTCTGCCTCCAATAGGTCGTCATCGATGGCAAGGGCCACCTTCTGGGCCGTCTGGCCAGCATTGTCGCCAAGCAGCTGCTTAGCGGCCAGAAGATCGTCGTCGTCCGCACCGAGGCCCTGAACATCTCCGGAGAGTTCTTCCGTGCTAAGCGTACGTAGCCCACTCGACATGAGGCCCATGTCCAGGATCGAGATCCACCCGGCACAGAACGAAGACGAGACATGGACGAATGCTGACGATCTGGATACAGTCAAGTACCACGCCTACCTGCGCAAGATGACCCGATACAACCCCACCCGCGGTGGTGAGCATCCCCCCTTCCGATAAGACGCGACGATGCTGTCTCCGCGTCGAACAACATGTCTGACCCCGCTCGCAGGTCCCTTCCACTTCCGCGCTCCCTCGCGTATCTTCTACAAGACCGTCCGCGGCATGATCCCCCACAAGACCGCCCGTGGTGCCGCCGCCCTGGAGCGCCTCAAGGTCTTCGAGGGTGTTCCCCCTCCCTACGACAAGGTCAAGAAGATGGTGGTCCCCCAGGCTCTCCGCGTTCTGCGGCTGCAGCCTGGCCGCAAGTACTGCACTGTCGGCCGTCTGAGCCACGAGGTTGGCTGGAAGTACCAGGATGTTGTTGAGAGGTGCGTTCTGCTCGAGATCTCGATCCTCGCGGCTCTGGGCTACAATGCCCGGAGCCCGTGGTCAAGACACCAACGGAAAACGGGGAGGGTCTTTACTGACAATCATCTAGACTGGAGGAGCGCAGGAAGGCCAAGGGCGCTGCCTACTACGAGCGCAAGAAGGCCGCCCGCCGACAACTCGCCGAGGGCAAGAAGAACGCCAAGGTCGATGAGAAGACGGTCAAGGCCCTCGAGGCTTACGGATACTAGACGGCTTCCGTACAACCAACCTCTTTTGTGTGCTTTTTCCGTTTGGTCTTAGATCGGCGCGTGGTGGTCAATGGTCAGGGGGCATCACATCTTCATTCGCGACGGGTAGCAGGGAACTTTTAGCTGACTTGCCCGTCGAACTTCTGGGTCCTCGATAGGGACTTATCACCTCAAAACAAATGAGCATGCTGGGAGAAAAAGATGAAATCTTGTCCAAACAAAAACAAATACTTTCGGGATCGCCGGGTGCTGCAAACGTGATTGGTTTTTCTTCCCTGCGATTTGAGAGCTGAGAGTCACTAGGTCTCGTCAACACGGTCGCAAGGAAGGAGAGGAACGAAGACGTGTCGAAGCCCTGTCGGAGCCTGGTGGAGAGGTGGTGGTCGGTCGTTGGGGATACTTTTAATCGAGGGCCGGCGCGCCGCCGGCCCTCCAGAATGCAGACATAATCGGGAAGGGACCCTGGATGGGCAATGCCTATGTCCCGGCCCGTCCTGGCGCCTCATGAAATCAAGAATCACAAGACTCAAATGACCGTCACCTACCTCGTCTTGTCTTGTCCGTCAAGGCCGCGCTTCGCTACATCATTATTCAAGGATGTTCCTGCCAGGGCTTGGCTGTGGTGTAGTCTTTCTTTCTGCGTCGGGTTCAACCGTGACGGGTGCCAACGTCGGGTCATCTCGAAATCCCACCTTGCGCTTTCTGTTGTCCTCCCATCCGCCACGGCTCCTCCTCCCGTCACCGTGGCTCGTCCGGTGACGATGCCTGCCTGGCCCTGGCGTGTCTGGTCGAAGAGGCCGCCACTGGCAAACCGCGGCCGTGTGCAATTGACTGATTGTTGCTCGCTGTGCTAAAGGGAGGTTTTGCTTCTAGACAGCCCCGTGCCCCAAGCGCGTTCGTTATTGGTAAGGCTGCTGCCATGTTGTTTGCATATGTCGCCCAGATAAGTCAGGACTCGTTAATGTGCTCGCTGCTCTACAGCCCATCCACCACCGCAGCCATGTGGGCCAGGGTCTTCCTGCTGCGCGTACCGACAGGCCTTGATGGATGGTGCATACCAGCTTGGGCGTGTGTTGTGTAGGAAGGATGTTAATGTTGGAGAGGATCACGTCCACTTTCAGGATTTGTTGCACGCGGTTCTCGCCCTTCCAAGCGGCCCAGTACAGATACAACAACAGTAATACTCAGGGTTGAGACTACCTCGTTGCACAGTATTCTTCCTCCTTGGAGGCGTCTACTAATGTAGAGGTGGCAGGCCTCGCCTAACATTGCGCGCTTGTGTTTTCTTCTCTGCGGGACAATCTCTGGGCTAGTAGGGGCTTGATGTCCTTGGTATGTGATACTTCGGTCACTTAAGTATGGTTACTTGGAACATGGAAGTTCCGAGTCTTGGCCGTGAAAAAAGTGTGGTGATTCGTGGCACCGTCACTCAGTAATTAGCAAGCGACCAGGTAAACACAATCGTGGCAGGGCGGGCTTCTCTCATGGAGGTCCTAGTCAAGTATGTTGTGTTCCTGCCAGCAGATTAATGCACTATGAAACACAACGACAAAGCGCGATTACCATGGCATGGTTGAAGGTCTGGTGTTCCTTGCGCATCGGCCATATCTTATGCAGTCCTAGAACTCCGTCATTTGTAACATACATCTTATCGTACTATTGTTCGACAAGAAGATCTCTGAGCTCGTGTTGGAATTTTCTGATGATATCTCGGTGCCCTCGAAGGACACTAGAAATGGGACTTGACTGTTAGTGCCACGAGGCTTTTTCCCCTTTTGCTACTTCGAATGCGTAGATCAAAGATCCTCCTCTAAGTGCCAGGAAGATCCGCTCTTCCACATCCACTTGTGCCTCAGCTTATGCACCGTTGCAACGGAAGTAACCACGAATCAACTGACTATTGACCCGAACGCACCGTAAAAGCTTTGTGATCCGGCTATTATGAGTGGAGGCCAAGTGCCACATAACCTTCTTGTTGACTATTTTACGCACACTTGCTCAGGCGTTATTCCTCGCAGGTCGAACGGAGTCAGGACGAGGAAAGTTCCCACCAACATATAGAGAACTGCGCACTACAGTGTTTCAAAGGACTCAACAATGAGTAGTCAACATTTGGTGTACCTTTCACAAAACGGCGGGTAGAACTGAGTAGCGTCGAGGCCGTGACTACGTGAATATTCGCTAATTGAGACTGGACTTTGATCTTGGCCCTTGGAAATGTAGGTGTGCGAGAGACGCGTTCATTGGGGAAAATCAATAAATTTGAGTCGGAGTCTCGCTAAGTATGCCGGGGGGAAGGGGGGGGGGGACACACCAATACTTGATTCGAATGGGGATACCAAGTATGTGTCAAGTTTGCGGAGCAATACGGTCAGACTTGGATTGTACTAGATAGGTGTAGGTGCGATGAAGGTCCGACCGTGTCCGAATGGGCACGTATGCAGCATGCCCTATGAAGACCAAATCCTATGTGCCTCGTCAACCAAGCCCGAAGCGTAGAGGACACGTTCTCGCCTAGCTTGTTGGCAAGTACAACCCTTGTCACTTGGAAGGCTACTTTAGTTATCCCCTCCAAGGCACGTAGCTTCTTAGAACTTAAACAGAACAACACCAATATATAATTGCTTCCCATATAATTATTATATATATGAGAAACTTACTAATACTAATTAATGGTTATAAGTACTATAAATTAATAAGGTAGAAAAAGCAACCCTATAAGGATTTCCCTAATTTAAAAATTATATCTTCCTTATTAATAAACATTATATAATAATAATTGCTTTTTTAAGCCTCCCTGCATTATTAAACTCCCTAAGTAAATATTACAAAGATTAAATAAACTAAGTAGCATTCCCTGCAATATTTATATGTATATTTATTGCTATTTAAGAAATATATGTTTATTATGCATAAGACTTTATTAAAAACAAACCCATTTTTAAATCTTCTTTAAAACCTAGCAAAATTTAATAAAGCTTCGTTTTATTAAATAAATAAAGCTTATAATTATTATAATTATTAAATAAATAAAGCTTGCAATTATCGTAATTATTAAAGCTAATGCAATGCTATATTATAAGTAAATATAAGTTATGCATTATGCTTTTAGCTAATATAAAAGGACTTAATAATAAAAGAAAACCTTAGCTTTTAAGGCTTAAAAAAACTAATAATTTTTTCCTTTTAATAACTATAATTTACTTATTATTAAACTATTATTATTAACTTACTCTTAAATATTATTTATTTTATTAATAATTTACTCCTTATAATATTTATTATAAAAACCTATAAGTATAGCTAATAATATTAAAAAGCTATTAGCTTTTATTAAAGGGTATATAGTTAATAAGATGCTTGTTTAAACTTTAATTAACTTAACCTATTATAGATATATTAACTTAAAATTATGGTTTATAGCTTTTATATAGAAAGCATTAATAAAATACCTAATTACCTACTTAATAAGTATTTTAATAAGCTATATATAATAAAATCTTTATAATAATAACCTTTTTATTACTTATTATAAGAATTATGCAATATAAATATAAGTAATATTTAAAGCATTACTAAATCCTTATTAATAATGCTTAAAAGTCTTCCTTTAAATATAAGGCATTTATATAAAATATAATAATTAATTTATAGCACTATAATTAATTATCATAGCTTAAGCTAAGGAAAGATTAAAATGAATTAATAATAAGCTTTATAATGCCCCATTAATTCCAGAATTAAGCATAAATAAATATTATATATAACTTTAAAGATAGTAACTATAAGTATAACCTTTATAAGCATTATAAGTAAGCTTTAAATAATAATAATTACTAAAAAGATAATCCTTAGGGCAATATTTATTATCGCCACCGGCTTTAGGCATATAATTATAAAACCTAAACTTAATAATGCAATCCATTAAAAATTAATATGGCTAGTAGGGCTTATTATTATTAATGAAAAGATAAAAATAAAGCTTATATTAAAAATATATATTATACTTAATATAACTTTAGGTTGCCTTAAAAATACCTTTATTAAATAAGAAGTATAACCTATATAAAACTCTTTCCCCATAATATATTCTTAATCAATATTTAAATCTAGCGAAATTAATATAGTTTATAAAAACTTTTAATAACTTTTGCAAGTATATTAAGAACTTATATAATTTATTAAATAATAAGATAAAAATATTTTTTAATATTTATTATTATGTTAAAATCCAACTAAATTAATTTTATATAGTTTTTCCCTGGATATTTAAAAACTAAGCTAAGACTTACTATCTTTATTTTATAAATTAAATTAATATATTTATAATAGCATATTTTAAAATTAAGATATATTTTAATATAAACCTTAACTATTAGCATTATTATATAAACTAAATAATAACAATATTTATAAAGATAAAAGCATAAAATTTAAATAAAGACTTATATAAAGTTTTATATTTAATGCTTAATAAGTTATAACTTTGCTAATAAGCATTAAGCTAAAATTATATTAAAAAGGATAACTTAAGAATAATAATAATTAAAGCTTATAAAGAAGTTCTTAAGTTAAAAATGGCTCTTTTTAAGCTAGCTTAATTATATAAAGAGTTATTTTTAAACCTAAGATTCGCAATAAAAACATAGCTTAGCTATGTAATTATAATTTATATTATAAATAAAGTTTTAAATTAATATTATATTAATTATAAATATAATGATTAAAAGCTAAGGAGAGGATAATAATTATAATTTTAAGCATTTTAAGGAAATTAAAGGTTTAGCTAATTAAACCTAAGCCATTTAAGCTTTAGGTAGCTAAGATCCTATAGTATTAATTATAAAGCTTAAAATAATAATACTTATAAAAAAGAAGAAGGATAACCTTAAAAGAAAAGATATTATATTTATAAAAAGAAGGAATGCTAGTTAATTAAATATTTAGTTAATAAGTAACGTTTAGCAAAAAGAAGCTACTTAATATAATATAAATATAAA